ATTCTGCAGTTGCTGCTGCTGCTGCTACTACGGCTGGGAGCAAGGGAGGAAGGGGCAACAAAGTGGAGCTGGGAGTTCGTTTGAGCTCGGAACCCCCACGGGAACGCAGCTGCCTTTCCGCCCACGTCCGAGAATGGTGACGGCAGCAAATTACTCCAAGGTGCTGCGGCAGCGCTTGTTGCCTTCAAGCATGGTGGCGTTTTCTACCACCACCCTCCCCCCCCCCCGTTTCTGTGAATGTTTTTTTTCCCGTGGCCGCCGTCGCGGTCGAATCAATTTCACGCTGCACGGTCGTGCGCCAGAAAAACGCAAGAGTTTTACTAATTTGCAAAAAGAAAGGAGGCAGAAAAATTCGTGAGATAGGCTCTTTTAGGAATAATTATCTGTTGGCCACGTTAATAATGTGTGTGTATATATGCATACCATGACATTTATTACCCATTAATTATTATTATGACTTTCACCAGCCCACACCGGTCAGGGCAGTGAAGTATGGTCAAATAACCCCCACAGTGTAGAGAGACCTTCATCCGGAAGTAGATTGAGAATAAGTATGTAAAAATAAATGATTATTAGGTGGTGGGAGGGGGGTAGTGGTGGCACAGTGGTTAGGGTACTGCTCTATGAACCTGGCTACTTGAGTTCGATTCCTGGCTATGGCTAAATTCATTGAGGAGCAATATTGGAAGTGGATCTGGGCCCCACACCCATCACCAATTTGCAATGAGAAGCATAATGATTACAGTCAAACAACTCCCCTCACCTGTATCATGTGGTGATTTAATCCAGCAGTGAAATCGCAAAGATGCTGTTAATATCTAACATTATTGTTTTTTTGACCTGTTGAAGACATTGTAGGAGTTGTGACATCACGTTCTGGGACAGTTGCCCAAATATCAGAGGCCACGGGCAGCTCTGCTGCCTGTAGCGGATCCACAACACCTTGGGGTCTCCTCCACAAATGTACAATCGTGAAGCAATTGTGCCGCTAATATATTTATTTTTAATTTAAAAAACCACCCTGTGCCCCCCCCCCCTCCACCTACCCCAATTCCCTTTCTGGCTTGACATCAAAACGGTGCTGGTATGTGTGCACGCCGTCACGCGGTCTGCCCCCGTGTCGCTCCACCAAGCACTTTAAATGGGGGCCCGCTGCTCGCTGCCGTGTGGTCGTCGGGGCCGAGTGAATGGGGAGAGCCCCTCAAAATCGGCACGCACGCCGAATTCCTGGGGTCGCTGCCGCGGAAACATGCGACCACACTCACGCACCATGTAAGCACGCATATATATATACACACACACACACACATATATACACAAAAACAAAGCTACCCCGCTTAAGACTACACAGCCTGCTGGGGCAAGTACCATAAGCGAGCACCTATGACGTCTGGCATGCCACATGAGGAGACTGTGTGGGTAGCACCATGCCTGGCAGGCCTTTGTCTACCCACATCCTGCCTGTTTACACACCATCAAGATACTCACTTAAGGTTGCATTGATTTAAGGGAGGTCCGGGACCGGTTCAGATATTCGGCACAGATGTTAACCTTGGTTGAGAATTTAACACTGGCCACCACTCGTAGTGCAGTCTTCTAACTACTACGCTACTACTCCCTAAGATTCCCACAATGTGAAATATATATTTACACACACCCCAATTCCCAATCGCCACCATGAAACATCAAAGACTAGCGAAAAAGGGAGGTTGTACGTATGCTACATGTACAACCCTAATTGTCAATCCACTGCACCCATGTCTTCCTACTGCTGATGTTTACACAGGTAGTCGTTTATGGCCAAGTCAGACGAAGGGAGGTCCCTAGGTCATGTTCAGATGTAACTTGCCACTGATATGAATTTAAACAGGTCACAGGCTTGAAGTGAAGTGCATGAAACAACTACCCCACTGTTACCCCCTCACACGTTTAAGTGTTCTCTAACATGAGCTATACCGTCAGGAACGAGAAACTGTTACAGGGACTTCACTCACTTTTGAGGGCCATTAGAAGCCCTTCAAGTGTGAAGAGGTGTGGTTTTCCCAGGACTCGGCCAAAAATCTGCTGCAAACCTCGTAATAAATGGCACCTTGTTGAGTGACCGCACATGATAAATTGGTAAGCGAATACTCAGCCATTATTGGTTTTAACAGACAACCGCTTATAAGTGATCAATATAACTGGGTAAAGGTGCAGTCCTGTAAATACTTGCTCATGCCAATGCTAGCGAATGTGTACCCTCATTGACCTTTGTCATACATAGTTGTCTTTTTACCCAAGGGTATCCTGTTTAAAAAACGTGAAAATCTCAAAAGGCTCTAGCTGATTAAAATTAGGACAATGAGTTCACTACACCCTTGATACAACTTAATGGCCATGTATACATTACTGGCACTGTTCACACAAGCGCAAATCAAAGACGAAACCGGTGACGTTTGCCAGAGAAAGTAGGGAATCCATAAAAACCCGAACACTCGTCACCAGCTATGGTCAATCCGCTGCTGTACTCAGGCCTCCCCAATCCGCCGCCATTTCTCGTAATCCTGAGATATCTCCATATATATATAAAAGGCAAAGTTGTGAATGTGTGTCCGTTCAAAATGTTTAGTGTACTTCCCGACATGCAACAAATTTGAAAATTGCCATGTGGGTACTTTCCAGACTGTACACCATGCAAAAATAAAAAAAATACTTTTTTGGGGGGGGGGGGGGGGGAGCTCAATAATGCATATATTGTTTGCACAGCAAGTAAGCTGTGATGTCAAATCTGTCACGTGACCCGCACACGTGGAAGTGTAACGGATTGTATTGTAGTGGTTAGCGCGCCGCGCTGCGAACCCGGCGACCCGAGTTCGATTCCCGCTCACGGCCACCACCGGTGACGATTATTTGAACCGGTCCTGGGCCTCCCCTAGGTCGACTGTTGTGGTGTGAACATCGCCACTGGGGAGACAAAGGCGGCCGGGTGTGGTGAATCCAAGTCCCGGGCGAAGCCGGGTAGTACAGCTAGTACGGTATAATCCACCTAGAACCTGCACACACTTATTTCGTTTGCTCCATCTTCACAGGCGGACGTGCTAGCGGACAGCATTTTGTTCCGTGGATGCCACCGTCAGCGTCATTGACGGTCTGCCATCAACGCTTGTCGTGACGAAAACAAAACGTAACAGGCAAAACACACCAATAAAAAAGGTACTTATAGGAATAGGTTTTACCCTTTTAACTGGCACAAAAACTGACACCTTTATTCAAGGCATCATGTTTGCAATAACCACAACACAAGCAGTCAAAATGCAAACAAAAAGAGACAACTCTGATAATAATATTGGCACTGTCCTTGAATTTGATTGGTCCACACCCGAGACGGCTTTTCTTAGAGCCTAGTCTCCATTGGTGCCAGTTAAAAGGGTAAAACCTATTCCTATATCTTGTTACTGGCAAAGGAGGTCTCATAATGAAAAAGGTACTCATTAAAAGTATTCACGCTGATGAAGTTTATGTTATGAATAAAGGCCAGATTGCTTCATATTTCAAACTGCCAATTAAGAAATGTAAAAAGAGAATTCGCCTGGAGACATCGCGAGAAGCGATAGCGGTCGATCCAGGCAGGAATGGTGACGGAATGACAGCCAAAGAAGCAGTCACCGTCACTCACGAGTATTCCGCTCCTCACTCATAACTCACTTATTTTACCCCACGAAACCTTAATCTCCCCCCCAATACCCGTTACTTTTCCCTCTTCATATTCCCATTATATGGCTATCACTCATTCCCCAGTCATTAAATCCATTCATCATTTACAGTCAGCAATTTCGCTTTCACCGAAATTCACGCATCACAGATTTTGGCCCCCGTTGCTTCCGCTCACCTATTTTCGTTCACCCCATCGCCACCATTATACATTCAATATGTAACGATCATTATTAATTCTTTTGTAAAGCCGTCTCGGTTAGGGATAAGTATAAGTGTGCGTCCAAGAGGACGGATGAGGTCGGTGGATGAGCGAGATGTTACAATAGCAGCACGAGACCGTTGAGACTGCGGCCGGCATGGTGAAGACTCCCCCCCCCCCTCCTCATCTACCAGTGAGCAGACAATGGGCACATAATGATTCCTTAACACTTGTGGAATACTGTTCCACGTGTCGCTCTACGCTTACGACTATATCACCCCTAATGCGAACGACATCGCAAGCTAATCCCGGTTTTAAAACTCCGCCCAGTGCTCGAATTGGCGACCGCATTCTTACTGCCGGTGTCAGCGGTAAGAATGCAATGCAGCAGCAACAACAACAACAACGACAAAAAACAACACCCCATTGTTGAATCGTATTTCTATGTCCCCATGTCTACGCTCCCCGTAGACATGGGGACATAGCGGGCTGACCGGCGAGCAGTGAGATGGAATAACCTCAACAAACCCCGCACGGGGTGGGGGAGCAGCAGCCATCATCCAGCAGTGGATTACCAAAACAACAAACAAAAACCACAAAAACAGCTGTGCAAATGCAACCGCAATCGGATGTTAGACAACTGACGATGTTCGACAAAACTATTCGCAATGCACCGAGTATTTTAATGTAACCCTTCACTCTCACAAGAAAACACACGCGCACATACACATGGCCCTCCTCGACCACGAAGCGAGGCGTCGGGGCCCACACACGGCTCCTGGGATAGCGAACCCTACCGGCTCCCTCTCACTTTCCCCGGCCGAGACGCTCCAGTAAAGTGGGGTGGGTGTGGGTGTCGTGTGTAATGACCCGCACCTCGCCTCACGCACCCGCATCTGGCCGAGACTCCGATGTCGAGGCGACAACTCGTTAAAACCCAGCCCGAAACCAAATGAACCCCGCCGAGCATAACGAAATCCCCTCCTCGTGCGAGACCCCACGGAGGCGAGCGGCCTACACCGGCCCTCTGCTAGCGGACCCTACCGGTTCCCTCGTGCCCTCCTCGGCAGAAGCGACCCCCACACCCCGACACCCCCCCCCCTCTCACCTCCGCCTGGGGCTGCGAGGTCGCGGGCGTCGCTATGGCGAGCGCCGCCGCGAGCAGCAGGGCGAGCAGGGCGCGCATCTTCGGGCGTCGGCGAGTCGAAGATGAATAGGAGGGACGAGGGCGGCAAGGCAGAGGGGAATGTTTGAAGGAAGATGAGCCTTAGGGTGGGGGGGGGGGATGAGGGGGTGGATGGGGGGGGAAACAAAAAGAGAGGGAAAGTTTACGCGAGTAGCCGCAGCCTCCTGCGGGCGACAGCTTCAGCGGACTCGGCCAGCGGACGGAAGATCGGGGCGCGTTTTTATTTCCTCCTCTTCCCCTTCTTCCGGAAGAATCATCTCGAGTCGATTCCACGGTTGGGTCGACTATTCGCGCGAGTCGATTCCACGGTTGGGTCTACTATTCGCGCGAGTCGATTCCACGGTTGGGTCGACTATTCGCACGAGTCAATTCAGCAGCGGTCGACTATTCGCACGAGTCGATTCCACGCGCTCAACTATTCGCGCGAGTCGATTCCACGCGGTCGACTATTCTTATCGAGTCGATTCCGCAGCGGGTCGACTATTCGCACGAGTCGATTCCGCAGCGGGTCGACTATTCGCACGAGTCGGTTGGTGGGTGTCGCTCGTGAATTTTTGTTCAATGATCGAATTTGTCTGGGTCTAATTTGTTATTCAAATCCATTTCTTACTTAACTACTTTTGTTATGAAAAGTTTTCTTTAATTGCTGGCGAAACGTGGATTTGCTCTCCAACACACCGGTGTGCTGAACTCGTGTAATTAAATTGCCACGTCTTGTTTACGTGACAACCCCGAATTGGCTGTGTCAAATGGTGGCGGGTTTTACGACACAATTATATTTACGCGATATTACAAAAAAAACTATTATGGACTTTTCTTTTTGTTGTACACGAGATCGTGTACGCTTTGCGTTGGACAAGGGAAAAACACATACATTCCTGTGTACCGCATTTAAATAACATGTTTTGATTCGTCGGCCTATTTATTTCCTTATCAGAATCAATGCATTTATTTATACTGGTGGAATCCGATGACCCATAAAGCTCTTTTTCACAAATGTGCAGCAGGGGAGGGGCAGGTCAGAACGTTACGACACAAAAAAACACGTTCGGAGTGTAAAGTATTGGAACGCTAAACAAATCACTTAAAACATGTACAAATAAAACAAAGCTAAATATATATTTTTTTACCTTACCAGGCAAAGCCCACTGGAGCAATTCGCTTCTTTTTCAGAATCGATCTGGCCACAAATGATAGCTCAACGAAGTGGCTTATCACGATGGAAAAATTCAACTAAAGTACGAAACTAAACGATGTTTTGTACACATTTCATGTGCGCGTTGCGTTGGACAAGAGAAAGTCACACACCATTCACGGTTCGGTACACGCAGAGATGCATTCCTGTGTACCGCATTAAACAATCATTATCCGTCGGCCTATTTACAGGCTTTATTAAGGAGCGTGTGTCGAAGCGAGCAATCTTAGCAGCATGTTCAACAAACGTGTTTAACATGATGAGATCCAGAATATTCTAGATTTGAAGCTTTCGTGACTGCAAGGATCCATACTCTTTGGTTCTATTCGGTAAAGTCACGTAGGTAAAAAATAAAACAACAAAAATCACGACGTTTCGGCCGCAACACAAATAGCCTTCTTCAGGTGAAGGAACAGAACTTCACCTGAAGAAGGCTACTTGTGTTGTGGCCGAAACGTTGTGATTTTTGTTGTTTTATTTTTTACCTACGTGACTTTACCGAATAGAACCAAAGAGTAGAGATCCAGAATGTCTAAACCGACTTTGGAAGGCATATTCATCCAGCGGTGGATGATAATCAAATCTCAGAATATTCAATGTCTGGGATTGTGAACTCCCTCGCCTGGTATACAGGAGGTCGTGGGTCCGATCTCGACCCTGCGTGTATTTTTCTCCGAGTAGTCCCGTTTTTTCCCTGCACATTTAGAGCCCACACGCGTTTCGGAGTATTTGGCTGCACTACATTTCCGCACGATAAGCCACTTCGTTGAGCATTTGTGACCAGGTCGCTTCTGAAAAAGGGGCTATACAGCTCAAGTAGGCCTTAGCTGGTAAAATAAAAGCAATTATTAAACAAAAGTTTTAATAGGAATGAATCTATTTATCGTTAAATCCACCTTTCAAAATTTCGCCGATTCCTCGACCGCTTCCGGAAGAAACCTCGCGTGTTCATGAACCTCAATTAAATCCCCACCACTTCTCCTTCTGGAAGATTACCCCACCGAGCACGTCCCCCCATTGGAAAGTGCTGGGTTGGTGCTCTTCCGGAAGAATCTTCAATATGCGGAGAAGCCCTCGTTATAATTATTACGTGAGCCAATAGGCAGGCGATGTTGGGTATTTTAAGGCATGGGTTTATTCATTCGCTGTATGAAATATGAACGTGTGCGGATACCATGGGTTGCGCTGGCGGCTCACGTCTTTTGTGTTAGATTTCACAGAGTGCATACGCGGCTTTACCCCGTAATTGTTTTTGTTAAAAGGCTCATGACCTCAACTTGTAACGCCCCGCCGCAAAGCATTACATTAAAACGAAGATCGACAGAGGAGGAACCAGACATTGAGCCGAGGCCAAATCCCACCCTCCCAGCTCTGCGGTTCTCTATATATGTGTTCAGCCAATTAATGAGTGTTTACATGCTAGAGGGGGTGGGGGGGCAATATGAAATCCTGTACAGATGGAACAGGTGGGAAGTGCACACTTTGCTGAACCACCTTCCACCCAGACAAGGTTATGACTCCACCTCGACTCCCACGTGGAGTGTCACACATGTGTGTGATCCACCAATCCTTGCCTCGACAGTGCTGGATTACATGCGTCTAAAGCAACCACCGCCCGGCAATAAGGGGTTCTTAAGGGTTCAATATATACCGTATTTTCCCGCATATAACCCGCGGGGTATACCAATTTTTACAAACAAAACAAGACCCTGCGGGGTATATGGAGGTGCGGGCTATATTAATTTTTTTTACACAAAACGCTATTTTTGCAGGGTATATGCGTCTACGGGGTTATATGCGTATGCGGGCTATATGCGGGAAAATACGGTAATTCCAATGTGTCGCTTTGGCCAATGTGCCTTTTTTCATAGCACAGAAGAGTCATTGCCCAAAACATTGCCTATTATACACGTTTCTATTGAGTGTTAGTGATGCACGTGTTGAGATTGTTATTTGTGCTCGTGTACCACTGCCAATGCAGTATCACCAAATGTTTAAGTTTCAATGACCATGTTCTTATGCCCAAACTATTTTGAAGCCACAAACAACAATAACTTATATTCTTGGTTCTTTCGGTAAAGTCATGTAGAAGGGAAACAATAAAATATTGGTTTATATTTTTATTATTTTATTGTTTCCCTTCTACGTGACTTTACCAAAAGAACCAACAATATGAATCCCTGCAGTCACGAAAGCTTTAAATCAAAACAATAACTTAGTGCATGTGTAATTGTTTCATAACATGTTTTGAGAATAACCACTGCTGTGCATATTTGAACTCTTTGAATTACATTCAGAGAAAGAGGACCACTTGGATCAGCGATGAAATACAAATTAGAGACATCGCATGAACCGTTCGGTGAATTTGGGCAAGACACGTTGCTTTAAGGCATGATGGTCGAAAGGGGACAGGTGATGGTAATCAAGCGGCAGCAGCACGAGAGAATGCGCCTGAGTTGCAGTCCACCGCCGAGATGCAGGTTATGAGATCGCCTCGTGCAGGAGCCTCATTCATTATGGAATGGGAGGATTATAACATGTCAAACAATGTGGGAAAACCTCTGTCCAGCAGTGGATGATCATTGTAATAAAGGACATGTTTTTGTGCAATAAAAAAAACATTCAGAAATGTTTTATTGACACCAAATGTGCAACTGAAGTTTTTTTTTAAATGTTCCTCAGATGTGTAACATTTTTTTCAAAAATGCAGTCAAATGTTTGCTTGCTGCAGCCTCATCATGCACAGCTTTAAGAAATAAGAGTGGATTTGGAAATAACGAAAAAGTAAAAACCAATAAAAAAGATTTATCTGCAGCAGGGAATACATTAACTAAAAATGTCTGAAATTAATGGTGCATCACACATGCTTCAGTGACCCATCCGAAACAGAACCATCGTTTCATTGAATACAGCATCCTCATGATACAAAACCTTTCTAATCCATACGATATTGAACCCTGGTCCGATACAAAAACTCTTATTCCATCAGATACAGAAACCTGAGGCAAGAGAAACCATGTTATCTAATACATAACCTTGATTGATCAATACAGAACTATCATCTCATCTGATATAGAAACCATTGCATCAGATACACTTGATGTTATCTGATATATGACTCATGTACCATTAGATACGGAACGCTTTTCCTGAATAAGAATACAAAAGAAATGCATTTATGTCTGTCAGACTACAAGTTTCTTGGATTACTGTTTTTTTTCCAGTTAAGCAGTGTTCATGAAACAGACTCATGTATGTTTACTTACAAAAAGAGTTCATAATACATTTTGATGCAGCACCCTTGTCTTATCTGACACAACATCAAGAAATGGCACCAGAGATTTCTTCAACAATGGAAGGGGGGACATTGTAACACTAATATGCCTTCATCAAGGATGTGGTGATGTATTCAGCTGTGGGAAGACATCATGGTGTTGATGTCCCAGATCAGGTTCCTCAGCTGGTCCATGATCACCTTCAGCTGTTGGTTCTTCTGTCTCAGTTTCTGAGCCACACAGAATAGGACAGTTCCACCAGCAAATCAATAAACGAATCGGTGATCTAAAGCGCAGTCACAAGTGTACAACCTTTTTGTTTAAAACGGGTCACATTGATAATCTCTTAGCGTCACTGCTGCTCTTTGAAAGTTCCCAATGAATGCATATCGTCTCATGACATTCATACCAATAACACAATTTGGATAAAATTGCAAAAAAATGAAGTCTAAACTTCTCTCCGTAATATGACGCGAGTCAATAAATTTCCTTTCCCACTGTATAATGATGGTGCGAGCCATGACGGTGATGGCGATGGCGAATAGTTTCACACCTCTGAGATGTCACGCCGCTCCTCATTAGCGAAGCGAAGGGCCGCCGAGTTCTGGCTCCACTCTTCTGTCCGTGGCGACTCCTCTTCTATAAACGGAATGTGCTGCTGGAATTGCAAACAAGACGGCTTCGGTCAAGGGCAATGAACAGACAATGGCTGCCAAAAACGTGTGGAATTACAATTACGTATGTTTTCGCAGTTGTTTCTCTCTATCTCTGCGATGTGTGTTTTGGGTTGTACTGCATATTTTTCTGCATTATGCCCGACGTTTTGTTCCATTTGTCCCAATTTAGTACTATACAGTCACTGCGACATCATTGGATTGTGCATTCCAGAATAGGTTTGTGATTTTTAGGTGGTTTCAGTGGTGTTTTTTTTTACTTTTCCTGATATTGATTTATATATTTTTCACACTATAAATACAAATAACATTACAAGCTGTAAATGCGCTTTGCTTGGTGCTTATTTATTACTGTTCTTAATCTATCAGGAGGGTCCTGCCAAGTTTCTCAGAAGGAGGCGATATTCCTATGTGTAATCATAATTGAATAATTTGTAGGTAAATTTCATCAGTTGGGATGTTTGGTCAACACCAGTTACACTGCAGGCATTTGTAGTTTTGGGAGTAAACCGGAGTACCGGAGAAAACCCGTGCAGAACAGCGGGGAGAACATACAAACTCGACGCAAAAAGTCGCCCGAGTCGGGAATCGAACCCAGGACGCGCACCATAACGGATAGACATTCGGGGAACACTGACATTTAGGGAACACTGACATTTCTAGATTTAAAGCTTTCGTGACTGCAAGGATCCATACTCTTTGGTTCTATTCGGTAAAGTCACGTAGGTAAAAAATAAAACAACAAAAATCACGACGTTTCGACCACAACACAAGTGGCCTTCATCAGGTGAAGGGACCAAGCTGTCCAGAGGACAGCGTTGGAGTGAAAAAAAAGTCAAGCGCAGGTCGCCTCCTTTAAGCTGTGAGTGGGTAAACAGAAAAGACGCCTTGACAAAGGAATTAGCATAAAATGTAAAGCTGTGCAAGCTCTCAAATAGCATAAAAATACATTAGCACCACCACAATGACATTTACCCCGCTATTTCGAGGACAAACTGACGAATCCGATTATTACATTGTGTGTACGTTGAACATCTTTCGCACCGCGTACAGCCCAACCGTGCTCATCCGGGAGAGTCTGTATGGAAGGCCTACGACGTAAATAACCCTGAGATTTGACCCCGTATGCGAACGGGGCTGTGGAGAGGCGGCGCGCCCTGCCAAAGTGTGTGGGGGTGTGGGTGTGTGTGGGCACCTCGGGCTGCAGGAGGGAGCAAGTCTCGTTGCACTTATCGTAGATGAGACGCAGCTTGCGGAAGAGCACCGTCAGCTGGCGCAGATGCTCCTGCAGCTTGCTCAGCCGGTCGGCGTGCGTGCTCGGCAAGTACGAACCGCCGTTGGGGAGCTGCACAAATCATAGAGACAGAGATCATCCCCACCACGACCCCCATCGCCGGATAGCCTTTAACGAACTGTAGAGTGTAGAGGCAAGTTCTGTTAGCGAATGTGACACCTATGAAGGCAGGCAAGGCACACGCGGTGGGGGGGGGGCGGGATGGGTGGCCAGCACCGCGACCGGGGTCCGCCTTTGTCTCCCAAGTGGCGATGTTTGACAACATCACACCAGGGCATTAATTTTGAGGCTGAGCCAACCAAGGGGAGGACCAAGGACTGCTTCAGATAATCGTCGCTGGTGTTTGTGGTCGCGAAATCGAACGCGGGTGTCGGGGCGCAGGGCGCGAATGGCGATGATGCTGTGGGGTTGGTGATCGCGCAGGGATGGAGCGAGACACACCGGGACAGATAGTGAGGCGTGTACTACAAAAAATACCAGGTTCATCTGGGCTATTAATTCCGGAGTGTGGAACTAACGGCCAGCGGGATGGTTATTGCCCCGTGGCTAGATTTGGAAGACCCCAGGCCACGTGAAGGATTACGTCTTGGAAACGATACGCGTGTCACTGCAGGCAAAGTTCGCATAACATTGCTTCAATCGAAAAACGCGATCATTAGAGGGCTCTGTTTTGCTGGCCACTCTTTGTTTGTAGTTCAAGCCCTTGGAACCGTGCCTTCCGCCAACTCGCATTGACCATCGAAGGCGAAGTATGGTCAACCACACAGCCCCACGACTAAAACAACGCATGGGGTGGCCCGTCATCCAGCCTCTAGAGGATCGACACAATGATCCATATTAGTATTGTTAATAATGTCTTGGGTGGAGCGGTGGCGCAGTGGTTTGCGAACTGTGCGTTGAACCGTAATCCAATCGACCCACCACCACCGCCGCCACCACATCGGGGTGGCCTTCACCCAAACAAGTGATATCGACCGCAGCGGACGACGATGAAGCGGCGGCGCCATCGCTCACCTGCATGTAGCGCAGTATCTGGAAGATCTCCGTGGTCCTCGTCACGATGTCCTGCACCGTCTCCTGCCCGATGCGGCACAGCGAGGCCATATTCACCTCGCGTGGCCCGGGCACCCCCGCGGAGACACCGGCGGAGACACCGGCGCCCCCCATCCCAGCACCGATTCCGGTTCCCCCTCCGACTACCCCGACACCGCTCGGACCCCCGAGTACCCCCAACGCCCCCGGGCCCGCGAACCCCTGCCCACCGCCTCCGGGAGGCAGCGAGCCTCCCTGACCTGAGGCCATGGCTGACGAAGCGGGTGGTTGACGAGGTAATGAATGCCTGCGCGCGCGCGCACTAATTGCTCAGCGACGGCGTTGCCTTCATTCTACTTTGCACTGTCCCGCAACTGTATACGCGCGGTTTGAGCAGGCGCGTCATTTGGCCGAAGCCCCCCCTGAGCGTGACGTCATTTGAAAGGGGGTGTGACATGACGTCATCGCACAGTTTCTTGGGCTTAGTGTAAATAAACGCCTTTGGTATTCGTCGTGAAACGTCGTGAGAGTTTTATTGCGTTATTTTATTTTATCAATTTATTATTTTATTCTCATTCTACGTGACTTTACCGAAAGAATCAAAGAAGATGAAGCCTTTGGTATTACTGCATACCTGTCAACCCCTAATCAGTGCTGAGCTTATTAAAGCTCAATTCAGACCTTATTGGTCACCCCGTGCCCTTATAAATATCAACGTTCATCCTACAAGTCCCATCACGAGGGAGATGCAAATAGAAAAACACAAATAGGCAAAACAAATGCCCGTTATTGAAATGGCCTCTACGCCGTATAAACCTGAAAACTCAATTTCCCTCTGCAAGTATGGGGAGGCAGGTATCTTACTGTAGAGGTGCTTATTGGTTTTTCCCCCCCTCGCAAAACGTGTGCTTTTTATAGTACCAATAAAGGAGGCTTTGGCGCGGAAAAGAAAACCAGGTTTCTTTGATGCCTCCCGAGCCAAGTTGTTTTGCAGATCAGAGGCATAATTACAACTCAGCTTTTTTAATAGCTATTCCCACATACAACAACAACCGCCATTCGCCACTAAGTGGCGGTGACGTCACCACGACGCTTGTGCCAGGCTATGTGCACCCTGAGGCCACGTGAAGTGTCGAACACCCGCTGGCAGGAGGTCACGGGGCAGACCCAGGTGCCACGGGTCGACTGACTTAGATGACTGGCTGATGCACCACCTGTGCCCCCTACTGTACCCCCTACTGTGCCAACCTGCTGTGCTTTAGCCACCCGGCGCTCCGCTCGTTGTTCTGAGCGTCGCTCCTCCGCCCTCCGTTGTTGTTGGAGGGCGACTGCCTCCAACTGCCCAGTAGCGTCCTTCACGAGCCTCCTCCACAGAGGCCGATCTTGACACCGCTGGTACCAGTCATCGGCAAGTCCACTCAGCTCCACGTCCTCCTGTACCACATCACTCCATCTCTTCTCTAGCCCGTGCCGCGCCCGCTTAGCCCCCTCGATCCGGCCAAACAAAAGCTGTTTCGGCATGCGATGGCTAGGCATGCGGGCTACATGACCCAGCCATCGCAGCCTTGCCTGCCGGAGGAGCTCATCGATGGGACCCTGCCCAGATCTTTCAAGGATTTGTGAGCTCCTCACACAATCCAGTCTGGTTAAACCCAGGATGGATCGTAGGCAGGCCAGCCTAAATGTTTCTAACCGGCGAAGATGTTCCATTAGGGGGGTCCACGTTTCGCAAGCGTAGAGAAGGGAGGGAATGACCGTGGCCGAGAAGACCTGAAGCTTAGTGCGGAGCGACAGACCAGGTAGCTTCCACACAGCGTTACGCAACCGATGAAAAGATATTGCCGCTCGACTGATTTGGAGTGAGACCTCTGCTGTTAAACTGGAGCCAGTCATAAGCACACTGCCCAGGTATGGGAAACTCTCCACTCTCTCCACAACTGCCCCATCACCGATTGGGAGTTGTGGGGGTGGAGTGTCCGATGGTACAAAATACCCAGGCAGGTGCTTAGTTTTGGTGGGGCTGATGGTAAGGCCCCACCTCTTAGTGGCACGCTCCAGTCTCAGCAGCAGCGTCTCCAACTCCTCCTCTGACTGAGCAGCTATTACCAAATCATCAGCATACATAACGTGGTTGAGCAATAGAGAGCCATCCCTTGACCGCACCCGGGCATCGATTAGCCTCCCATTATATCTGTACCATATGGAGATTCCCCCGGTACAGCTATTGAAGGCTTCACGAACTACGTGGTCAAAATAGATGTTAAATAATGTGGGGGCCAGAGGACATCCCTGTCGCACCACAAGGTGTACAGGGAATGGCTCCGACTCCCGGCCACGTAGTTTTACCCGGGCCCGCTCACCATCATGAAGGTCCTTAATGATCGTGAGCAGAGGGTCAGGTACTCCAAAAGCACGAAGAACGACCCAGAGCCCAGGCCTACTGATGGTATCATAGGCCTTGACCAGGTCAATAAAGCAGAGATGTAGGTCTTGCTGGAATTCCCTACACCTCTGCTGTAGCAGACGGACAGAAAATATGGCATCTGTGCAGGACCGCCCTTTCCTGAAACCGCATTCCCACATAACCTCCACCTACAAGGACACCCTCAGGTTGTTTGACAAATCTTGCCAAATTCCCGATGGATGACATTAACTCTACAACCCTAACTCGTGTGGCAATTGTTCATACCATTCTTGTCCGCAGTGTTTTATATGAACTTTGTACGCTACAGGTTTTGTATAAAACGCCGATTTATATGCATTTGAAGAACTCGTGGTGTGTCAATACCTGCTTGCATTTTGGTGCATTCAACCAAATTAAACTTGGGACACACGGAATCAGGATGCATACCTGTCAACCCCTTATCAGTGCTTACTGTATTAGACCATACTCTTTGGTTCTTTCGGTAAAGTCACGTAGGTATAAAATAAATAAATCACGTTTCGGGCGCAAGACAAGCGTCCGCCATCAGGTGGGAAAGCATGGTCTGCTGCTGAGGCAGACTTGTGTTGCGCCCGAAACGTCGTAATTTATTTTATTTTCTACCTATGTGACTTTACCAAAAGAACCAAAGCGTATGGATTCCTGCAGTCACGAAAGCTTAAAATCAAGAATGTATTCGACCAATTCAGACCTTATTGGTCACCCCGTGCCCTTATAAATCTGAACGTTCATCCTACAGTCCCATCACGAGGGAGAAACTTTTGCCCGTATTGAAACAGCTGTACGCCGTATGGACCTCAACTCAATTTCGTTGTACAAGAATACGTGTAAACAGTATGGGTTGCCAGGTATGAGCATGATTATGAATATAAATATGCCATTTGGAGACAAAGCAGTTGCTGTAACGTGTTTTATTGAATTAACTCGAAGTTTAACGTCAGTGAATTGCAGATAGCTCACTCACAAGAGGTCAACAACCAAAGTGACAATCTTGATACCTTTGATGGGATCTACGGCGCTCTGATTCACCCCAACATGACAACTAATTTCCCCCACATTAAAACTAGCGGAACAATTTTAAGCAGGCAACACAAGCGATTTGTTGACATCACCGTTAACAGGCCCTAGTCACTGGACAAATGAATGACTTCATATGACCTATTGGTAAATCAACACGAAGCGATTATTCGTTAAGACCACTTAATGGAGCAATATAAAAGTCAAGGTGCAGCCCTGTGATTAATTGCTCACGCCAATGCTGGCGAAAGGGCCTCCACTAGAGGGAGCTCTAAAGTGCCACTCAAAGAGTATTTTGCCCAACTCTTCTTCCACGCTGGCCAAAACGTCTTGAATAAGGTGGGAGCACCCACGATACATCTCACAACACATTACCTGGCAACTGACTAACCAGCAGGTATTCGTAATGACTAATGAATGCTTCAGGTCATCCTTATCAATACGTACATGAAAACCTCGTCGGGCGCGGGGGTTACGTTCATAGAAAACGTAGTGATGGGCAAAACCGGTTCGACAAATAATAGATCTTATGGGAAACATAGGGTTGCGTTCCTGGGTCCAAAATGATCACCCCCTCCCCTCTGTTTAACAAGTTCTGCATTTCTGCCCGTTATTGTTACAAGTAGATCTCCATTTCTTGCGTGTGCATTCTTTCGATTTTACCGCAACACAAAACCCCCATCTCCATTACTCTTGCCACACCGCAGCACTCACGCCCAATGCTCGCCCCTCATACTGCCACTTGAATATTAATTATTCGCCATCGAGGTGTCTGTATGACTGACATCCTTGAGTGGACGGCCAGATGCATGTGGCAATGTGTGAACATTTGCGTTTTGCGTGAGTACGGTTACATTATCACACATTAATTTGTCCAATTCATTTACACAAGAGAACCTTCCAACAGATGCAGCACTCTCACCTCTTGCAAGCCTATAATACATATTAGCAACAATCTTAACAGTCAAACCACGTATAGCCGAAACATAATTCCGAAACACAGACCTCATTAAGAAAACTGTGTATAGCCGAAACACGGGTTCGATAAAACCGTGTTCGGCGAGGTTTTCCTATCATCATTCAAGGGATGTTCAATGAGCAGCCAGCTGTAATAACACTTAACCATTAGCCAGTTACCCCCAATAATTCTGAATCACTAGTGTAATGACTTATCGAAAAAATTATTGAAACGTGTCCCACCAAAATCGGTCAAACGGATATACGTATTTGCAACAGCATAAATTATTCAGGAAGCCGCCAAATAAAATATTAAAATTTGCAATTAAATATCTGCCTCATGGTCAACGTGTCATAAACTAGATACTTAGAACAATCACTGTCGCAGTGACCAAAATATGGGGATTGTTTTTATAAAATACTGTGACATCTTTTAAAACATACATTTTCGTGAAGTGACATTTGGGTAACACACAAATCAGAGAACATGGGAAAAATTAAATCATTGCAGCACTCAATATTAAAGTTATGAACGCTTAAGAAATACAACTAATTGGGCTTAGGAATAAAATTAAGAAAAGAGACAGTGCAACAACATTTTAAGAATCATGGGACGTCCTTTGCCAGTACCAAGATATGATAATAGGCTTTTCCCCTTTTTATGGCAACAAAACAGGTGTTACGATGTTAAAACACCAAACTGAAACCTTTTACAAGGAATCATGTCTGCATTAACCACAGTGCTTGTGGTCAGAATGCAAACAAAAAAACACTGAAAATATATGCATTGTCCTTGAAACTGATTGGTCCACACCAGAGACAGCTTTATTTTGAGCCTCGTCTCAAACGGTGTTAGACCAGAGGACGCCAAAAGGCGTACAGCCCAAAGACAATAGACCAATCCGATTCAAACACAATACATATTATCAGAGTGTTTTTTTTGCAATCTGACCACAAGCATTGTGGTAAATGCAGACATGATTCCTTGTAAAAGGTTTCAGCTTGGTGTTTAAACATCTTCACACCTGTTTTGTTGCCAGAAAAAATGGGAAAAACCTATTATCAACATTTTAAGAAATTTGTTCTCGGAAGCCAAAGCGCTTTTGAGAATTTGCTCAGCCCACAATATTGATGACCAAAATAATATTTCTAGATTCTCAAAAAAGCCTAGCTATTAGTACTAATTAAGCAAAGACAGATTAAAACAACTTGAAATCAGCATACACTACTTCAGATCTATATTTTTACCAGCGAGGTCTTTAAGAATGATGGTAATCCAGTAGATTTATATAAGCACTATCCGAATAATGTAGCACTGCTAATGACAATGTGAAGATAAGTCTGATCTCAAACATAAAGAGGTGCCACATAAAGATAGTTATATCGTTTGTAGATGCGAGACAGACAGTAATTATAGAAAAATCAAACCTGTTATATCAACACAGTAACATTTTATAAGCTACTTCTGGCCTAAAATAACTCCCAAGATGATTGTAGCTTTAAATGTGACTTGTCCTATGAATATAAAAACAATTTAAAACCATATTTATTCAAATCTATAATCTAACCACCACTAGCAAATGGAGCTTGTGCACTTAAGGTAATAAAATAAACGGAAAAAATGTCATTTTATTTTCTCTCATTCACATGGTAAGCTCAGTCTGTTGAAAAAAAAGACATTAACTGTGCCATACTCTTTGGTTTTATTCGGTAAAGTCACATAGATAAAATAAAACAAAATAAAATAATTAAATCACGTTTCGGAGGCAACACAAGCTTCCGTCTTCAGGTGGAAAAGTCAACGCAAAATATCTGTGTTAGGAGCACAGTTCAGAGACGACCTTGGATTATATACAGGTTAAGGGAGGGGGGAGGAGTAAGTGGGCGTGGATGGGTGGGAGGGCTGGGCTAAGTAGCCTTTTGATAGAATGCTGCGGGTAACACCCACTTCTCAAAGCTCACATCAAAGGGCCCCCCGTGATTTATTTTCTTTTATTTTATCTACGTGACTTTACCAAATAAAACCAAAGAGTATGAATCCTTGAAGTCACGAAAGCTTCAAATCTAGAATGAACTGTACCACTTCCTAAGTATTTTTAAACGATTTAATAAAACATTCTAAAAGATACAATTTTCATGCTGTTAACCATCATTGCCAAATGTCGCATTAAAAATGCGACATGGCTGAATGCACTGCACACAATATACTTGGTGGTCTAGTGGTTAGCATGCGTGCCACTGCAAGTTTGCATGTAGTCAATGGTTCAATTCCAGTTTCTGCAGTGCGTTATTTTACCATAAATATATCACCTATGAAGCGAACCCTGTATTGTCATTTACAAATAGTGTATTCAGATCATGGTTCTAATTTATTCATATTAAATGTATCGTGCAGTATTTTGCCAAGCACATCAGATCTGTAGACTTCCTTCGATATGGCCAAGGCAGCAATTAAAAATATACATACCTAGGATAACGCATATCTTTTAAATAATTATAAGAATCACGATTGGACATGAGGGTTCCACAACCATACCGAGGGAGCTTGAGATAGGTCGCTAAAAGGGCAATTTCATTATTTTAAGAAGTTATGCCACAGGGTTATTCATTGACTTAAGTTTAAGGCTGCAACAAATATTCTAATCACTTATTTCTTCAAATAAGCAAGATATACTGACAATATTTTACGACGTTTAGTGCATTTTGCCACATGACCAGGTATATCAATCCATGCAAAGTATATGCAATTACATCGACGTTTCGATGGTAATTACTTCCAGCATGATCGGGCAATTGAGACTGGAAGCAGGTGGATTTCTTCACTGTTCTGGAAAATTGCCAAATAATGCTGGATGTAATTACCAGCGAAATGTTGTACTCAAATTGTAAATGATGTGGAATTACTCTCCAACACACCGGTGGGTTGAAGTAGTAACTAATTGCCACGTTGTTTACGTGACAAACCTTACTGGCTGTGTCGGGTGGTGGAGAGTTACAACACATTTATACTTACGCGATCTAACCCAAAAAACTTCATTATGAATCTCAACAATTGACCATTTAAATAGTATTAAAATGTTGCAGCCTTAAGTTTTCTTGCTTTAAAATACTTGTCACAAATATTGTGCATTTACAACTTTAATTGACTGATTCTAGATTTCAGCCACATTCATTGAAGCTGTGCTACTCCATTAAAAGCTGGAACATTTGTCAACATCTAACCCAAAATGGAGTGGAAATACCATGTGGGATGGGACTGGTGAAAAAAAATCACTGCAAAATGGTCCATGGTATATTATCATCCTTTTAGTTTTCATGGATGATTATGCCACTCAATCCCCGTGATGCCTTCTACTTCCAAATGCACCTCCTCCATCTCTTCCTCATCTACCCGTGTCAGCTGCACAATTGCCATCCCTATGTTTTCATTCTTATCCCGCACCTTTCTGTCGCCAATTCCTCTCTCAAAACCTGTGCTGACCACTATTTCGTCCCCAGCCCCTCCAAGCATCACCACGGCATCTTCATCCATCATGGCCACACCCTCTCCCAGAGTCGCCTCCTCCTCGACAACTCCATCTTCTCCTGGTCCTCCTTCCATTCCAAACTTCCCTGCAGTTCCTCCAGTTTTGTTGCTGGTGGCGGCCGTTGTGCTTCTGGGCCTGCCGCGACCCTGCTTGCTTTTCACTGCCTCCCCTTTGGTGCCACCACCAATGTGTTCTTCTGCTGCAGATTCCGCATTGTTGGGAATGCGCTTGGGTCTCCCTCGACCTCGCTTTACCAGGCTGGTGGTGGTGGCACCGTTACCAGCCGGATCGACGGGGCGTCGTGGACGCCCACGTCCTCGCTTGGGCAGGGAGCCACCCTTGGGGCGTCCCCGGCCTTGCTTGGGTAACCCGGTTCGTGTGGCAGTGGCGGCGGCAACAGCAGCACTAGCATCTGGCATGACTTTATGCTGCTGCCCAGGCCCCCCCTTCCTCTTATCCTTGGCGCCCAAGTTTCCCCCAGAGCTGCTGCTCGACTCCAGGAACCAGTTCTGTGCAGACACAGCAGGATGTGGGGGCATGGCAGTTGGACGAGTGAGACGATCCCTCATTTCTGTTACTACTGGGCAATGATGCCCACAATATGGACCTCAGAATCTACTTAAAGGTAAACAACCCAAATAAAGGCTCTCTTGTAGATACTTACCAAGGCTCTGTGTCCAGGGCTGTCTGACACAGGTTTGTAGCTTATTTAATGATAAAAGTTACAAACAGCCACGCCATTATAGCAGTCTAGTTATATAATCATAAACTGCATTTTCCTTTAACTAACAATGTAAAACCATCATGAAGAATCAAGAGTGGAGTGAGACCAAGATTGAGTGGTTTTGGGAAATTAAATTTGATCATGAATAGCAACAATGTGGCTCATGAATAACGTTTTCAATCAGTGCACATTACCTGCCACGACATATGGATCAGAAACATAGACTAACAAAGATCAATTACTCTTTGGTTCTTTCGGTAAAGTCACGTAGGTATAAAATAAAATAAATTAAATCACGACGTTTCGGGCGCAACACAAGCGTCCGTCATCAGGTGGGACAACCACAGCCAGAAATAATTGCCGAAGTGTTCCTCCCCCCTCTCTTACCTGTATAGCCTCTTGTCACGGCAGCCCTTTTGCCCACTTCAGTAATTGTTTCTTGCTGTGGTTGTCCCACCTGATGACGGACGCTTGTGTTGCGCCCGAAACGTCGTGATTTTATTTATTTTATACCTACGTGACTTTACCGAAAGAACCAAAGAGTATGGCTCCCTGCAGTCACGAAAACTTCAAATCTAGAAAGATCAATGAACAAACGATATATAGCATACAAAGAAGCATGGAGATCCATGCTGAGAATTATACGGAGACAGAAAAGGAAACACATGTCTTTGGCAACCAAATGAAAAGATCAGACACTATTGATTGTTAACAAAAGTGGGCTTAGGCAGGACATTGATAGAAGTAATGATAGACGATGGACAAGATTGGTAACACAAGGGCAACCAGAGAGCTGCTTTAAGTAGTAAGTTTGAGTGACACCACGGGCCAAATGAAATAAGCTGACAGGGTGAATTTGGCCTGTGGGCTGTGGTTGGAGAACCCTGCTCTACAGGCGTGAGAGACCGGTGGAATGGGCAGGCCATGTGGGTGTGCAGGGCAACGTACGACGTCGTGCTTGTTGGTGATGTGGTACTTGACCCCACTCTCCGAGCTCAGCTCCTTCTGACAGATGAGGCACTTGTATCGGCCAGTGATGTGCTCTCCCTGAAGAAGACAGAGGAAGAGCTTAAGGTGCACTATCACTGTTTGCACCATCTCTCTTCTGTTGTGTATGTGTGCATTTGCCTGCTGTGCACACATTCACAGTAAGAGGTGCTAAGTGTATGAATTCCATATGAAAGTGTGACAATTATAATTCAAATTGGTGCAAAAAAGAAGAGGCACAGTTCAATATTGATACCAACTAACCTTTTCACAGCTGCTCAAATGTCCTCTCAGCCCAGACACACTTGTGTATGTTGATGAGCAACCCTGACCAAGACAAAACAAATGCATTGTCAAGCAGCTTATACTTATGCCTGTGTCAAAGTAATGAGCCAGCTCTAGGTTTAGATATGGATCCATAATTTACTCAGTTTCCCTGACACAAGTTATCACTTATTGAGAGACACTTGTGTCATTGCAAGGTAATTTCCGAGATGCTTCATTCACCTGGTTGGGACATATGACCTCGCCCTTCTTCTTCACATCCCGACGCCACTTTTCCAGAACTTTCGGTATGAAGTTTGGCAGGCCTGGCCTCGTGTACCTTAGCTGCACAAGAACCACATGCACACACAGGCACATACACAACCGATTACAACCAGCCTGAAAGCTGAGTGAAATAAAGAGAATGGACAGAGATGCACGAGCGAAGGGCTGCGTTAGTGAGTGAAAGGTAGTGAACGGGGAATCCGAAAGTGAACAAGGCAACAGGAGATGCAGTGAGCAAGTGGGTGTGCGTGCCTGCTTGCTGTGCGGGACCAGGTCGTCCTTGATCTTGCGCAGGGGCCACTCGCGTGCCAGCTCGCTCGCCACCAGCTCATGCATCTGGCGCACCGCCCGCGTTGCCGACTTGCGGGGCACACGATTGCCCTCCGCCCGCATCCCATCACCACCGCGCTCGCCATTGTCCTCATTGCCATCATCACTGCCCCGCATGTCGTTTTCGCCCCCCATACCTCCTTTGTTGGCAGCCTATGAGAAGCAGTGAAGTAACATTTACTGAACATCCAGGTTGGAGCCCATCAATATTGTTATATTCTTATTGCTGCATTTCTGAGGTGTGCCAGGCAAATTTTGGTACTTTGTAGCATAATACATTGTCTTTCACAGCTGTGAGACTCTATAGGTTCGAACCCTGCCCTCTCATTCATGACCATAGAGAAGCAATTATATATCGTTAAAAAAGGTTTTATGCATGCTTAACTCAGTGATGTCACATCCGTTTCTGAGGGTGGTCCACAAGAAAGTGTGTAGCTCCCTTTAGAAAGTGAGCTACTCAGCCCTATACAAGTGGGCCACAAGCCTCACTAGAGATTGCTTGGCATGAAAAGCCTGCCGTGTGTGGGAAGCTAAACCGAGCCCAATTTTCCGGTTTGCAAACCAGGTCACCACGCTTTTTAGTGGTTGTGGGAACATCATTAGATTTTTTGCAAAGGAGACCTGGCTGATGTCGTTTACTTTGGCCAACTCATTCAAGTTATTTCCAGTGTCTCTACCCCGCAGGCTGTAAGTGTAGGTGGTGCTGACCGGGCTGTGCTTGGCTTTGATGTGGTAGTCGTGTCCCGCTTTGGAGTGGTACTCTCGGCTGCAGTGCACGCACTTGTAATTCATAGCTTCCAGCTCCACCGTGTCCTTACCGCAGCGCTTCTCATGGTACTGATATCCCATGAGGCTCAAAAATGATGCCGTACAGCCCTGCGCAGCGCACACACGCGAATGTGAAGAGCAGGGCACTCTCTGAGTATGCACACTTTAACACAGGGGTACAGAACCTTTTGTTTATCAAGGGCTGATAAGGATTTTGAAATACCTTTGGTGGGCAACCACACAATAATGCACAACTTAGTGTTATCCAATAATAGGTAGAACAATTATGATAGATAACATTTACAGGTGACAGAATGGGCTAAAACAAGAAACACAGTAATTCCAGATCAAAAATATTCCTCTCTAGTACCCAACTAGTGCAGCTAAGATGCTTGCAGTAACAAATAAAGTTATTTGGCTGTTTTGAAGTAGTCCACATGTGGTCACAGGGCAGCCAAAATGAATACAGCCTGTGGGCCATAGATTTCCTACTCCTGCTTTAACAGGTGGTACCACGGTGGCGAGATATTAACTACCTCGCCTGGTTGTGGGTTCGATTCCGACCCTGATGATGCCTGTATATCTGGAGCTTGCATGTTTCTCCCCGTGGACGCGTGGATTTTTCTCTGGGTCCTCTGGTTTTTTACTGCACATTTAGAAACATGTGTTTCGTGTTTGGCAACTATAAAGTTGGCCTGACGAAAAGCCACTTTGTGGAGCTATCATGTGGCCATGTTGCTTCTGAAAAAGAGCTATATAGCTCATTGGGCCTTACCTGGTAAAATAAAAAGTTTAGTATGTCCTGCAAACCATTTTACATGAACTGCATACTGCAAAAATTCTCACCTGCCGTGGACACTTGATCTTGCCTATGCGCTTGATCACCTGTCTCAGTCGTTCCCTGTCAGTCTGCTCGTCCGGCACCTCCCCAGTCTTTACCCTCAGCTGGGACAACATGTTGAGAGAGAGCTCATTCAGAGTAAGCCTGGTCCATATAGTTGACAAAGTAAAGCTGCAACTAATAACTCCTGAAATAACACCTCTACTCGTTTTTGCTTCAATTAGTTGAATACAAAAATAAACGTACAATTTGCACAGCATTTGCTAATGGAGCCGATTCAAAGATCACAGTTAGGTGAGATGGCATCATCATCGTCATAACTGCGTTATACTGGGTATGAATTACGGTGAGATTCCAAAATTTTGGAGGCTCGATGCCAAGCGTCCACTTTTTTAAGCTCTGTTGATTAGTCTTTTATCATTTCAGCACTAGCTTAGAGCACACTGCTAGCGCCAAAGAGAACCTGGGTTCAGAACCTAGGCGATGGACATCTAAGAATGCTAGGTATGTCACGGGACAAGGCCAATAGGTCCTTGGTCAAGTCTGAGCTAAGTGATTAAAAAGTAAAACAAAATACAAAGTAATTCATAAAAGCAGACAGAAGTGGTGACAGCAACAAGAAGAAATGCAATAACCTGTCATAAAAAGACTATGCAAGTGAAATAGTGGTGTGGCAAATGCCAATGCAAATGATCCCAACACTTCACTGAACACGCGGGAAATAGGGGGGGAGGTGAGGGTAGTGGTAGAAGTGCAGGGAAAAAGGAACCCTCGCACGCACCCACTGGTTGTGTTCAGCCAACAGGTGGTACTTGATTCCTGCCATGGACTTGAATTCCTTGGAGCAGTGCTCGCACTTGAGCCCATCCTGATGGTGGCACAGCATTTCCTTGTTACTCGTGCACTAACATGCACGACCACGTAATTTCGTCCAGAGTAAAGAGGTTTTTCGAAGGGTTTGCCACTTAATATGCGACTTATATTAGGACTATCACGAGTACCATAGTTAATGTGAATGATAAAGGGCCAAGGTCAGGGAAAGGGTTATTGTACACAAAGGCTATCTAGGTAACTGAGCGTGAGAAATATAGCTTGGGAAAACACTACAGTTAAGATTTCTTGCAAAAGCTAAATGGCCATAAAATGCAAGAGAAATTTGGTTAAGTCTAATGAGTTAACGTAGAGGCCATGGTTAGAGACAGCATTGAGAATCAATACATGCCATTTGGAAGGTTTAATTATACTAGGTTTAAGCAGAATGGTTGTGACTTAATGTTGGAGACAATATAATTAGGACCAACATACGACTGCATGTAGTGCCACTCATGCTGGTATCCATCACCTCTGTGCAGTCCTGCAGATGTTTCCTGATTCCCTCCACTGTCTTGCGTATGGCAGCGCGGCAGTTGGGGCACGACACCTGACCAGTCTCAGCAATCTCTACACTCCACAGCTCCTCTTGGCTCCCTGCATGTGCACACACACCCATGCATAGGCATGAGATTCGCACTTTATCAAATCAGACTGTTGGGTAAAGATATATTTGCAAGCGTCTATTGAGGCAGGCACTCCTCACCACAAGAGGTGATGGGGCTGGGTCAATAGCACTATACACTCTAGAATCCCATCAGGTGGACGACATGTGACACTTCTAGGTCAAATTAATTCTTATTTGTATTGTCTTTTCTGTACAATTTTAAGCCATCGTAAACTCTTACACAGACAATTTCATGCATGTAATTGTAAGCGCATTACCTTTGGGGACAAGTCACACAAAGTAGGAAGTGGGGAACCTATGGCCTGCAACTTCATTTTGCACGCCCCATGACAACACGCGGCCTACGACAAAAAACTATAATTATCTTTTACTCTCAGCATATTAGCTGCATTAATCAGGTAAAACAAGGGAATATATTATCCCTGGAAACATTGTTGCTAATTTCCCATGGTCAGTCTCCTTGTTGTCTTTTCGCACATAGGCAATGCATACAGTCCCAGCGTGATCAAAAGTAGTGTCAACTAATGTGCGGCTGGCCAAAGGTAAGTAAATATTCTATCGGCCCCCAGCAAGGAAAAGGTTCCCCCCATCCATGCAGTAAAGACGGGGAGAGCCAATGTTGTTCGGGGAAGATGTGTGTATCCTCACCGGGTGGGTATGTTTCGGGGGTCTTGAGGTTCCTGCGCTGCTGGGTGGCCTCCTTCACCTTGCTCCTCTTGCCACGGGTACGGCACGAGTCGTCGTTGTCTTCACCGTCGCTTGAGCTATGCGCCGACTGCCGCTTCCTGCCTTCTGCGAGGGCATTGAGAAAGGATGCGAGACAAGGCGATGAATAACGGCAGATAATGAATGGGGAATGAGAGACAATAGTCCGTGAGACAGCATAACCAATGAGACTGCATTGCATGTAACAATATGTTGGGATGTGACTCATCAACATTGCCATGAAGGCTGTCCCCCCCAATCCATTGGCCATTCCTCATGGTCTCGTGATGCAAAAATGTAGCAGAGGCTGATTTCATTGCTCCCATCTCATCGGTGGTCTTACTCTAAGGCATGTTCCGTTTCAGCTGTCACTCCATTGTTAAGTTTTGGCTATCGGTGTATGTCTAGCAACTTGTCCTGCCCAAGCCCACTTACTTTTAGGAGCTATACATTTTTACCGAGTCAAACAACATAATAACGTGTATACAAAGTGACATGGTATCGGTACAAAACGACAATACGTGGAAGCAACGTTGATACAGTATGGTGATAAGACGACGGTGATAATGTATTATAGTCTCACCGGGCAGAGGGAGATTGCTGTCCTCTGCATCACTTTCAGAGGCTTTTGTTGTGTCTAGATTTTTGGAATCACCTACATTGACAAATAAAAACCAAAATTAAATAACTAGGATATTCACATCTAGGCTCAAAGTGTAAGACTAATTGTATATTGAACCACACCACAAAAACATGCGATTTCATATTCGGAGCTATTATTAGGAGTGAAATCACCCGGAATGCATCCAGACTCATCAGATCTTGGAAGCTAAGCATTATTGAGCCTGACTAGTGCTTTAATAGACGACCACCGCACATCCAGTTTCGGGTTGTTATAGGTTGTGCGGATACATGGTGGGCAGCTCAAGACTGCAAAAAACCCACTATAGCACCGTACTTTTATGTTCCCACATTGATGATCCCCACTCTGAACCAAGCTGTATTGACCAGCACGATGAATAACCTGCACGACATGAGGAAACCCTTAATCAAAAGGGTTGGATGTGTACAGATATACATTATAATTTAAGCAAGATCAATCTGGGATCTCAGCAGTGTGGGCTCAGTGTTCCGGCTTACCCCTTATTAATGAAATCTCAGATCAGGTCAAATAATTAGCATATTTGGTATTCACACTATTCTTAAAGCACAAGGCTATCATGAAGGTGCAATGTGTTATAGATGATTGTGGTCTGCTGTATTTTCATAGTAAGGGGCAACATTGCTAAGCGGCTTTATTAATTACGTAATTTCTAATGCTGGCCCAATTGACAGTGCAGCCTAACCGTCGGCGACAGCGCCCAATGCGTCGGGTGCCGTGGTTTCCTCGTGGGAGAGCCAGTAGGCTGGCTTGCGGATGGTGCCTGTGCGACCCTTAGACCGACCCCTGCGGCCCTTCGTCGGACTCCCACCATTCCTGTTGGCGTCTTTCTTCAGCAAGGCCAGGGTGGGGGCCTGCTCACTACAGAAATGGTAGAGAAGAGCAATTGCATCGGCCATAATCTTCTCGAGGTACACAAAGAATAACAATACCATCTTGTTTTTACAATATATTATTAAGTTATAGGTAAAGACATGCTAATAAAATGCAGGAGATTCCGTTAGTAGTTACTTACTAGCACAGATTGAAACACGTCAACTTAGAAAGGATATCATGGAATCTCCTTTGCCAGGACCAAAATATGATAATAGGCTTTTCCCTTTTTTCTGGCAACAAAACAGGTGTTAAGATGTTAAAACACCAAACTGAAACCTTTTACAAGGAATCATGTCTGCATTAACCACAATGCTTGTGGTCAGAATGCAAACAAAAAACACACTCTGATAATATATGCATTGTCCTTGAAACTGATTGGTCCACACCAAAGACAGCTTTCTTTTGAGCCTTGTCTCAAACGGTGTTAGACCAGAGGACGCCAAAAGGCATCCTTTTCATTACTCTGATAGTGCATTGTCTTTGCGCTGTACGCTATTTGGCGTCCTCTGGTCTAACACCGTTTGAGACGAGGCTCAAAAGAAAGCTGTCTGGTGTGGACCAATCAATTTCCCTGATAACAGAAAATATACAGTGAGATAGTGCTTTGTATAATGTATGTATGTTTGGCCTTCGACCTTTCTTAAAGTACTATGGATGTTTGCAGGTAACAGGTCTATCTAGCATTAAAAGCCAATTAAAATGACCAAAATTAAACTTGGTGATTGTTAAGCATTATCAACATGTCCATGAATGTACTAAGCAGTTTATGAGGGGGTGAAGCCTGATATACACTTCATCACAGCATTAAAATATTGATATAATTGTTTTGAGAACCAATATTTGAAAGACCTCATTCTGAGAGTAGGGAATATGGGGGTGGAAAACGCCAGCATTTTGTATTCTATGGGTCTTTCGGTAAAGCCACGTAGATAGAAAAAAAAAATCACGCCGTTTAGATCGCAACACAAGCAATCGTCTTCAGGTGAGAGAAGACGATAGCTTGTGTTGCGATCGAAACGTAGTGATATTTTTTTTACATCTATGTGGCTTTACCAAAAGACCCATAGAATATGTATTCCTGCAGTCACGAAAGCTTTCAGTCAAGACCCAGTATTCTGCTTTTGTTAAGATGTTAATGTAAACAAAACTATAGTTACAGGACATTCAAATATCAGGATATCATATAAAAAGTAAAAAAAAACCTCAAGATATATAAGGTTAACACCGGTGTAACCCAGACAGAATGTAGGCCTCTAGTACTATGAGAGGTATAGACGTCTGTGGAGGACATGACCAACCTCCCGTCTGCGTGGCTCTCCAAGTGCTCCTTCAGTTGATCCTTGTCGGCGAAGGTGACGCTGCACTGGGTGCACACGTGCGCCACTGCACCCACCATCCTGGATACCTGTATTCCCACACATACATGCACGCCCGAGCATGCAACACCGTTTGTCGATAGGTGGTAGTGACCGGTGGAATTCTATTACCTTTTCATCAACCCACTGATTAAATTTACTTTGTTAAACCAAATGGCAGCCCATTGCAACACACTGGAAGCTGCTGGCCAAAACAGCTGCTGCTCCTTCTTCCTGAAGAAAATGTGTCCTTTGGGGCTGGAGGCTCAAAGACCTTGGGTCTCACCTCAGGCTGCTGTGGCAGAGACTGATCCTTCCTTGGTCGCCCTTTCTTCTTGGGTAAAATAGCTGGGGTCTCCATATTTTCTGTAGAGATAAAAAGACATTATATAGCCTCATCACGGTTGCTTACTTTATGTAACATCTGGTGAGTAGCAATTGATTTCATGCATAAATTAAACAGAATGTAAGGTAATGTATTAGCATTGTGCTGGTACCATTTGTCATCTTCAATTGTAGCGTTAATTTGACACATCCCTTATTTTCACTACCAACTGAAACATAGCAAATAGTAAAGAAAATGTGCACCTTAGCTGTGCAATAATCTAGCCAACGATTTGATTTAAATGGCTGCGCTAGATGTCAGCATAATGTACCAGCATCACTAAAATAATGGGATCAAATCTTAATGTTAAGGCACATTTTCAAGTGTAACAGGGCATGTAGCCTTTTCAAAAACGACAGGACAAACAAAAATTATGAATTTGATATTACCTCGATTTGACCCCTCAATATAGTTTTCTGGCTGTGCAAGGAAGATGCATTTGAGATATCGGTGGTAGCTGTGGTGATCGTCTAAAATCGTTAACTGAAGTCTCAACATCCTGAAATCAAGATGACTGCAATATAAAGGATACACACTTGTACATAAACAGCCCTTTTGTCAATTCACTGCTGGATGAGAGCCTCTCTGTGCTGCGTTGGTCTTGGCGGTTATTTGACAATACCTGTACTTCCCCACCCCAGGATCATAACCATATCGTGGTGGTGGGGTTTGTGTGTTCAAATGACCCTCAGAGCTATGCCGCCTCAAGTTTTGTACTCCTGGTAGAGTCTCCTTTGGCGAACAGGTCTGGAGGGGAGGTTCCATACAAATAACGATCCACTCTTCACTCTCTCTGTATGTCTTTGGGTCGATATTCGTGTTCCTGCTGCCTTGTGGGTAACTCTGGGAAGACAAAGGCTAGGGGAGCACACCCTGAGAATGAAGCAATGTGCTGGTGGTACGCGAAAGGCAGTTCTCCAATAGACTGAAGCTCCGGCAGCCTCCTGAAACTGTGAAAGTGCACCAGTTATCCTGGGTTCTCCCTTTGCCACTGGATTCCACCCTCTCGCAGTGAAGAAGTACTGTTGGGACTTGCACACCCCCAATGGCACTCTAAATATAGTCTTTGCGCAGGTATCTGGAAAAAAAATGGACAAAGTCTGGCGGTGTTGGGTGGTGTGGCGACGGGAGCAGGTACGAACACTGGGAGCTCCTAGTCAGACCCCTGCACAGGCTATTTGGTCGCTAGCAGCTAGAATTTAGTGCCAGCTCTCGTGTGACTGAGCAGTCCTATTTAGGATCTGCACCGCTCACCCTAAATGGGGAAGAACCCAGAAAAGGTGGCCTAAACATTGCCAACTCAAACTTACCTGGATAGGTAACCGCACCTATCGGGTTGTTCCAGTCTGCGGTCAAAGAAACCATAAGAAAATGATCTCCCTCAAACTGGCAACGTGGAATGTAATAACTCTTTTGGACACTGACCGGGACACTGAGAGACCCCATCGAAGAACTGCCGTAGTTTCAGCGGAACTTAAGTTATACAACATTGACATTGCTGCACTTCGCGAAACCAGACTCCTGGATGAAGGCTCCCTGAAGGAGGAAGGCCAGGGTTATACCTTCTTCTGGAAGGGATACCCCCAAGGAGGACAACATCTACATGGTGTGGGATTTGCAATAAAAAAAACAGCCTGCTACCCAATCTCAGAGACACCGATTGGCTTAATTGACTCATTACGAAAGGCATCTCGTGGCAAAGAAGCGCTACACCACACTTCTCAGTGCCTATGCACTGACTTAACCATCAGAGAGCGAGGTTAAGGATTGCTTCTACCAAGCACTAGATGAGGCCCTCCATTGCATCCCCAGCAATGATAATATATTTTTGCTGGGTGGATTCAATGCTAGAGTGGGAAAGGACAACCAGGTGTGGAGTTATTGGTAGGCATGGCATTGGGCAAGCCAACAGCCGTGGCATTTCACTACTGGCTGTTACTGCCAAGGTCATTGCCAAAGTAATGCTCCACAGACTGGTAGAAAGTCACAGAGGAGCTGTTGCCTGAGTCACAGTGTGGTTTCAGGCAAAACAGGACTGTCGACATGATTTTCACAGCACGACAGCTCCAGGAGAAGTGTCAGGAGCAGCAGCGGGACCTCTTCATGGCTTTCATCGATCTATCGAAGGCCTTCGACACAGTTAACATGGAGTTTCTGTGGGACGTTTTCCTGAAGTTTGGCTCCCCAAGAAAATGTGTCCATATCCTGCGTCAATTTCATAAGGGGATGATGGCACGGGTGACCATAGGAGGCCAGGAGTCCGAGCCCTTCAGGGTGCACACCGGCATACGCTAGGGATGCGCCCTTGCTCTGGTACTCAACATCTTCTCCTATTTGTCACCATGCTACTGCAGAAGGAGATTGAGAAGGATAGTGGTGTTAGTGGACTCCAGGCTGGATAGCGACCTTTTTAACGTCAGGAGGCTCCGACCAGTCACATAAATTACATCCGAGCCTGTCATCGAGCTGCAGTATGCTGATGGCTGCGCGCTCGTGGCCCACACACCACAGGCCCTGCAAGCTACCCTTGCAGCTGCTGCAAGTGCTTATGACAGATTGGGTATCTTGGTGAACATCATGAAGACTGAAGTAGTATGACAGTGGGAATCTACTAATCCACCATATACACCCACCTTCACCGTCTTTGAGAAACCACTCACAGAAGTGAAATAATTTAAGTACCTGGGCAGCTTTCTGTCTGGCGACTGCATTGAAAGGGAAGTACAAAACTGCGGAAAGCATGCGTGATCCTCTTTTGGCGGGCTCAGAAAAAAGGTATTCCAGAACAAGTACCTCAGCCTACATACTAAAACATCTGCCTACCAGGCAGTGGTCATCACAACACTCCTTTACAACTGCGAGACGTGGACCTTGTACAGTCGCCACATCAGGATTCCATATTAGGTGTCTTCAATGCGTCCAGGGGATAACCTGGCGTGACCGAGTGCCCCATACTGAGATACTCTGCAAAACCAACTCCATCAGTATGGAGGCTACCATCATCCGGCACCAACTCCGCTGACTCGGTCACGTCATCAGGATGCAAAAGGAACGTCTTCCACGTAAGGTCCTGTATTGCAAGCTGGACCTAGACCACCGCTCTACAGGGGGCCAAAAAGGGCACTAACAAGGACCAACTGAAGGCTGCCTGAACCCTACCCAGCTGAAGGACTCTGACAAAGAACGCTCCATCTCTTCCAGCAAGGAGTGTTGAAGCTCAGAGGACCGCAGTGAGCTACGGATAAGGAAGCATCTTAAAAGTCATGAAGCCAGAATCATACCTACACCTCCAATCAGTGACTTCACCTGCTCTGTCTGTAGCAGACGCTGTGGGTCGAGGATTGGACTTTACAGCCACACAAAATCCCACAAATAGAGGCAGAGGAGGAAGGTCATCATCGGATACAATGGACAACCTTGAATGAACTTCATTCCGGTCAGGGCAAGTTGGTGGAGGGGAGCACAGACATAATATAATGGTGTTCTGCAATTTTTTCTGCACTGCCTTCATGGTAGCCTTATGCAGAAGCCTATAACGACGTGTTATATGCATGGTGGTCCCCCACCTAAACATTATCCAGGCTTATCCTGCTAATCTTCTGAAATTGGGCGAATTCCGGATTACTGTGTATTGCAGGGGTGCGTAGACGTACTGTAGCATTGGATTTTTTCCTGCACTACCCTCTGCCCTCCCCCACCACACTTATAAGGTGGATAAATTAAATGTGGCACCTGTTGCTTCTTTCCTCGCAGAGCCATCTACATCGCGAGGCTTGGAATGCATGCGTCCGCTTTTGCGTGCAGACGATGGAGACTGGTCCTGTGAAGGTACGGGTGACTCGCTCAGAGAGCGAGTCGCCACCTGGACAAGGGACATGATACGGTTCCTGTTCGAAGTTAACACACACGCGCACACACACAGAAGCCAGGCATCAATATGCAAGCTTGTGAGAAAACACAACCGTGTTGGCACGAGTACATATTCACACGGATGCATTTGTAGACATGTTTACATACTCACCAACAAATTTGCTTTCAGAATTAATGCGACTACTTTATTGATATAATTTTACTAATTAGTTGATTAGAATCATACACTTTATTTAGAATTGAGGAATCCGATGAACCATGGAGCACTTTTGCACACGTCCTGTAACACTATCAGATGGTCGTGGCAGTGTCACTGCCGAGAAGCCACATTTTCAAATGCATTCGAGATTCTTGAACTAGTACTTATAATTCCCAACGTTTCCCCATGCAAAAACGATATTACTATCATATTCTTGGTTCGTTCGGTAAAGTCACGTAGAAGGGAAACAATATTTTATTGAAAGAACCCAGAATATGAATCCCTGCAGTCACGAAAGCTTGAAATCAAAACGATATTACTATTACCAAGAAACCACGTGTTTGCTCATCTCTTTCAAAAAGAAAAAACTATTCTCTCTGCCTGATGAAGACCGCTTGTGTTGCGATCGAAACGTCGTGGGTTTTTTGCTTTTATTTTCATTTTTTAAAATTTTCTATCTACGTGACTTTACCGAAAGAACCAAGAATTCCTGCAGTCACGAAAGTTTTCATTTGACTTAATATTTCTGAATCTCATACATATTTTTGACACTCATGCTTGTTATATCGACACCAGGACCCATAAAGTCCTAGCCTATAAACATTTGGCATGTTCACCCGCATCAATTCAATCAAGCCTGTACTGATGAGACACCGAATGTTAAAACCGGTCCAGATTTGCTTTAGACTGAACAAATGATGAATTTAAACAATCGCATAAGGCCGTGGGGCCCGATGGGTTGTATATGAAAAAAATATATATTTTAATATAATGCAAATATTGTGACATTGCTTGTCTATTTTCTTCATACATGGTGAACTAAACACCCGATATAATCGATGCATCGTTACCACCCTAGTGGCCAGTAATGTCGTGGCACTGTTACAAGCAAATATACTGTACGATAGCTAATGTAATGTTTCAATTCTGTAATGTCGTTATATTTTTCCAAAAAGCTCCTTCACTAATATTTAATTTTAAAATGTATACACTTGAATGAAACTAATGTAAATGTAATGTTATTTTTTTGCAATATCCCATACATTTCATTAACCAAACACGTGAAGCACGCTGCATTTGAATGTAAAAATATACATTTTGAAACAACGAACGTAATCGGTAACTGCTTTCTTACGCCATGCAAATAATAATTGCAATGGGCTGTTAGCACAGCAGCAGCAGGCCTTAAACTGTACTGCAATAAAAGTTTTAAATTGCGGACACTAGCTCGACCATTTAATTGCAAAATTCGCCCGAAATACGTTAGGCGTCGTGACTTTACGATTATAATCTGTCAGCATTTGTAATATGTAAAACAATGAACCGGTTTAAAGCTGCAGCAAGCACACCCCCCCTTCCCCACGTTCCCTAGCAGACAGATGACCAATCGTTTTAGTAGCGGCGCGAGAGGACACGCCAACTGAACAAACGCGGAACATCGGGGAACTAAACGAATCGCGACAGTGGCGAGAGTTAAGCTATCGCCTCCCCCCCACCCGAGGCGTTGAGCGAACAAAAATCGGCGCACGCCGTGCGCTCACGCTTCGACCCAACAATTGAGCAGCACAGCCAAATAAAGTTGACGGCCTCCACCGCCCACTGTATCGGTCGCTCTCGATAAGATGGCGGCCGAGGCGACAACAAACAAAAGCGCGGCAAGAACGACGCCGACGACGACGCCGACGCAGCAGAGCTAAAGATGCGAAAACCGCGCAGCCAGATGAAACAAAAAATGAAAAAAAAAATCGTCGTCACGCGTGCCTGTCGTGTAACCGCGCAAACCGAAGCACGTCGGAAGCCACAATAACAAAAATATTACGATTGAAAAATGTTGATTTTTTTCCCCCCTCTCCCCTACCCTCAAGAGTTCACCACCTCCGCATTCGTTTTCCCTCCGTAAATGGAAGCGCGCCGCCTCCTCATCCTCCTACTCCCCCTCCTCCTCCCACACTTCTCGCGCAGTTCCCGCATTTTGTTTCAACCCGACGCCTCTCTGGCGGCCATATTGGGTAGGGTAGCCCCTGAGGGTTGTTTTTTTTAAATAAATCGGTTTAAAAATCAATCGGTTTAAAAATCGATCAATTAAGTCGTCGATCGGTCAATCTTCTCATTTGTTCCGCGCGTCTCATTGTGTCCCAATACGCGCAGAGGCAACGACTGCAAACGGCTACGCTCAGGCGGTCTAAGCCGGGACGATAGGCGCGGGGAGCGCCTCGCAATTCGCATTTTGTGCATCGGGAATTGCGTCCCTCGCACTTTCGTGGTCTGCTAAATGGGTGGTGTGGGTGTGGGGGTGGGGTTTCGATGGCGCTGCGAGTCGCTTCTCGGTCAACCCCGGGACGAACCCAGCCGCGTAAGCTGTACCCAAGTCATCACAGCCGTCAACCCCGTCCGTATCAGTGCCCTATCTTATTACAGACCAATTCAGACCTCGTACATAGCAACGTTCATCATACAAAGTCCCATCACAAAGGGAGAAGCACAAACAAATAGATTATATATATAAAAAAAGAAAAAAACGTTTACTCAATTTTCCCTGTGTAAGAATACGGGGTAAGCAGTGTGCGGTTGACAGGCCACGGTCATAATTATAGCGCTGGTGGCAACAGCAGCAGCAGCAAAAGCGCCGCACCGCGCAAAATATGCGAAAACCTGCGAGCAGAGGAAACAGAAAAAAAAGCATCGTCACGCGTGCCTGTCTGTCGTGTAACCGCGCAAACGAAGTTAAAGTCCGTCGAAATTGACAAGAGAAAGTATATCACGATTGAAATTCGTTTTTCCCCTCAGAGTTCGACACCTCTCGCCTTCGTTTTACCGCCGTTAATGGGAGCCGCCGCCGCCCCTTCCCCACCCCCCGCGAGGCCACGCCCCTCCGAAGCCACGCCTTTTTAAAAGCTGACCCCTTTCCGGCGGCCATCTTGGGTAGGGTAACCCCCGGGGGGAGTGGGGGGACTTATCCCCCCTTTTAAGGGTTTTAATCAATGAGTTTAACAATCAATTAGTTTAACAATCAATGAGTCAGTCTTTAATCAATCAGTCAATCTTCTCCTTATTTTCTTCGTACGCCTGATTGCGCGTGTGCGTAATATGCGCAGAGTAACAACTACAATGGCTAACGTTCAAGGTGGTCGAAGCCAGATCGATGTCCAAATTCGCATTTTGTGGATCTGCAATTGCGTCCCTCAAACTTTGTGGTCATCTAAATGGGGTTTTCGATGTCGCTGCGAGTCGCCGTGGAGTCGTTTCTCGGTCACCCCCCCGGACGAACATCACCCCGTGCCCCTGATAAATCTTCAACGTTCTTCCGACAAAGTCCCATCACAAGGGGAGAAACACAACGCAAATAGACACTTTATTTTAATTCTCAATTTCCCTGTACAATAACAATAATAATACGTGTAAACAGTGTGGGGGGTTGACAGGTTTATGCCGCGGTAATATAGCTGTTGGCAACAGGAAACAATCATCAACACTCTTCATTTGAAGCTTTCGTGACTGCAGGAATCCATACTCTTTGGTTATTTCGCTAAAGTCACGTGGTAGGTATAAATAAAATAAAACAAATCACGACGTTTCGATCGCAACACAAGCGGTCTGTGTTGCGATCGAAACGTCGTGCTTTGTTTCATTTTATTTCTAACTACGTGACTTTAGCGAAAGAACCAAAGAGTAATCATCAACACGTTCGTCATTCGCAGTGTGCCCTGAAAAGGAAACATTAAACAGGCGACGTTTCGGGCAATGGGCCTCCTTCATAGCACATAGACCAGAAAGATTATACGTGAATTAGAGACATAATTTGGTGGTGATGTTGATGCTGCTGCTGCTGCTGCGATGGCAGTAGTGCCACAAACACAACAAAAAACGGCACAACTGCCATCGACGACGTTTCGGACAATGGCCCTTCTGCTCTGATTAAAAAAAGGGGGCCATTGTCCAAGACGTCGCAGATTCTACATATATATTTTAAGGCTGTGTATTTGACGTGTTGTGTTTCGAGTGAATTCATTCAAAGCTGCATATTACATCTTAGGGGGCTTTATGAGCATTAAAACAATATTTCTTCATGAACAATGTTTTCATTGGCATATAAAGTTACACTGTTAGTAGCTACCAATAAACAGACAATCCTTTCAATGACCAAAAGGCATTGCTAAATAAACGAATTAGTATTAAAATTATCAATTGTTGCTGCCACACTGAATTTTGGGTCACCCTTTTGTGGTGAGGTCAACAAGAGCCTTCATTGGCATAGCGACTTCGTGATGCATTCCTGGGCCGAATATATTACAGTATTTAGATTATTTAGCTTGCTATACATTTCCACGTTAATAAGCCACTACGTTGAGCAATCATTTGTAAGAGCCAAGTCGCTTCTGAAAAATAATCTAATCGCTCAGTGGGCTTTACCTGGTAAAAATAAACAAACATAGTTTAGTTTTATTTGTGTATATAGTTTGTAATTTGTTCACCTTTCTCATGCTGTTTTGTACTCCTATTGTTTGGACTTGATTCGAAGCTTTCGTGATTGCAGGAATTACTCTTTGTTTTTTTCGGTAAAGTCACGTATAAATAAGAAATAATAAAATAACTAATTTTGCTAAACCCTGTTTGTTTGGTATGCTTCTCTCTCTGTGTCCCCTGTTGTATCTGTGTTAGTTCCCCCCTACTTGGGTGTCTGTATATACATCTGGGGTTATGTGTTTCCTCTCTCTCGTAAATTTAGCTCTTCTGTACCTGATGATGGCTGCTTGTGTTGCAACCGAAACGTCGTACGCTATTATGTTATTTTATTATTTCTTATTTATACGTGACTTTACCGAAAAAAACAAAGAGTAACTCCTATTGTTTGTTGTTGTGACGGTCTGACCTCGCCCCCACTGAATATCTGTGAAAAAGAGCTTTATAGCTCATCGGATTCCCCCAGTTTAAATAAATAAACTGTTCGCCTTTTGGCGTTGTTCTCTGGTCTGACACTGGTGATGCGACTGGGCTCTAAAGAAGGCCGCTGTCTCTGGTGTAGGCCAATCACTTTCAAAGACAATCACCATATTTCATCAGAGCACGTTTTGTTTGCATGTTCACCACAAGGACCGTGTGTGATGTAGATATGATTCCTTGCAAAAGATTTCCATTTGGTGTTTGAACATCTTAACACCTTCTGTTTTACTGCCAGAAAGGATAAAGGCGATTATAATTGTTGTTCATACTTAAATAAATCGATTCTGATTCTCAGCTGGAAGGGGGAAGTGGTGGGGGGATTCATATCCGATGACGTCAACCCCTTCAAATTATGACGTGTGCCCTTAGTAAGATGGCGGCTATGCACATGATATCGTTTTCTTGAGGGTACGAATAAAATAATCTACACGCGCAGTGCTTTATGTAAGATAAAAAGGGTCGAGGCATCGCCTTAGCAGTGTAGTGCACGAGAACAAACTCGCCAAACTTTGCTCATAGGTTTTCATCCGCAAATAATATTGCTAAAGTGACGTTTCGGGGGGCAGTGACCCACCCCCCTCCTTTAGAGTAGAGTGGGACCGAAGAAAATTGGATTTGTACAGGCATTAAACCATTTACACCGTGGGGCCCTGAGGCAATGCTACACGTTATGACCAGTTTAGAATTGAAATAAAAGTTTCCCAATTCGATGTGTTGCATATGGCAGCAATATGGTCAGAAGCTAATGCCAATGTGGAAGTCTGCTAGCCACAACTAGAGGGATTCAGGAGTGAGTTCGTGTCGTTTTGCTGTTCGTCCGTTGAAGGGGCGCAGACTACAATGGTTTATGATACGGTCCATAGTTTGTGTTGCGTGGCCACAATCGCACGGTGGCTTGTCTGTAATGCATCTCTATGTATCTCTATGGGTATCTATGTCTATCTCTATGAGTCTCTAAGTATTTCTATGAGTCTCTATCTCTGCTTGTCTCTGGTTTTACTATATGATCCAGTCTGATTTGCATGGCCAACAGTTGCACAACAGTTGCACAACTGGCTTATCTGGAATGGTCCATTCATGTAGATGTGTAGTGACATCGCGTAATGTCACTGTGTGGTGCCGGCACTAGAGGGTCACGGCGTGCGGTGTAACGACATCGCGGACACCACTTGGATGTGGGTGCAGTACCGGCACTAGAGGGGCTCGGTGAGCGCTGATCGATAAGCGCTGGATGGCACTACGCTCGGCGTGCAGTGCCGGCCCTTACAGGATAGGGTGTGGGAGTGCCGGCCATGGAGATGGGGTTACTATAGGCTGTGGCACTCTGGTTGACCCCAGAGTACACGTGACTGGTTAAGTCTACACAGGGGCCCCAAGTGGGGGCTAGGGGTGGTCAAGTGTCAGGGTCGAGATCCTGCTGGAGGATTCTGGAAGGTGGGCGTGGCTAAGGGCGGAGCCAGCCACGCCACAGAGGATATAAGCCAGGTCCCCGAGAGGGGCCGGCGCTGTTGTTCATCCTGAAGAAACCTTCGTCTATGTTCTACGTCCTACAGAGTCTCCAACATGTGGACCTGGATCCAAGCTGTGGTCCGGTCCGTAGTAGAAAGTTAGGTTGTAATTAGTGTAGTTAGCCTGGTGGTCACCACCATAGGTTGTTATTCTGTTAAGGGGCAGTTACCCCGTGTGTTGGTGTTAATAAATGTGTTGCCTCCAAAGAGGACGTCTGCGACTCAGTTGAACTCACTACAAATGTAGAGATCGGCCTGTAAGATGTACTAGTACGGTTGATGATTACACTTGTGTGTTCGAAGAATATCAAGTTTACCAATCAAGAGCATAAAACAAAAACATTAAAAATAACCGTGCATCCATTAGCTCCATTTAACAGGAAAATCAAAGGGTATCACACAAGTGCATTCAGGAAAGTCTGGCACTGGTGCAGAGGTTATAATTAAGCCATGCCCATTGCCTTTCTCGCTAGCTTGGTGAAGTATGGTCAAAGACCCGCATGACCGATACGGTGTGGAGGTCTCAATCCAGATGTGGACTGACAAAAGGGCTGTAAATATTGTTCTAAAAGAAGTATATATCTACAAATTGCACCAGCCCTGATGTAAGCCTATTAAGCTATTACAATGCTTTAGTTTTATTTTTGTTAATGTGTTAGTTGGCATGAGGATACAAGTCTTGCATATTCTGTCTGCAACTGAAGTTGGCCAGGACTCCACCACTATCGCTGGTGTCTCACGTAGGTATTTGAGGTTGGTGTCCCTGTGGGATTCACAGAGAGCCGATTGTTTGAAAATGGTAATTGAGAAGTAAGTGTGGATCAGAGGTCAGAGCGCTGAGCGAGCTTCCGCTTAGATCCTGGGTTTAAATCCAGGCAGTCACCTCTGATAAAACCAGATTTTCAAGTGTAGTGCATTCACGGTGTCAGACCGGTCACCAAAGAATGCGTAACATTTGTTTAAAGTCCGACTCTGAAAATGCAAAATATTGGTTTGCCATACGACAAACATTAACTTTCAGTGGCATAGCGAGGAAGAAAAGTGCTGCCCTCCTACCTTCCATGGGCCATTCTCCGACACCAAGGGTTTCACTTCTCTGCGAGAGATCCGAACGGATATACTTTGTTCCGTGAGATGACGTACATTGTACAAGTGGGATAAAATTGGGTTAAATGTTTTAAATGTAATAGAAAAGATTGAGAATATTGAGTGTTACACTCCCCTATGCGTGGATTTTCTCCAGGCATTGCCTCCCACAAATACCGTAAATACATTCAAGTGATAGGATCCAAACTCAAGCGGTCCTCTCCTGAAAAAAAGTCAAAAAGACTCGGTGAGGAATTCGTATGTAAAAAATATATTTTTTTACTTTAAAACAAATTAAGATATTCATGTAAAGTGCTGTATAAACCTGTTTTTTTGTGTGTATTGGTAGTTTGCAAAAATAACGGTTTTTAATAATGGCGAATAGTCTAGAAATAGTGAACTTTTAAACATTGAAACTTTATTAAAGGTTCAACATTATTATACACAATAAGTGGGGCGTTAAGACAACAAAATCCACAGCTGGGAGGCGGGGGAAGGGGGAAATAAAAAATATAAATATTCTGGAGTCGTGGCAGACTTAAACGTCAGAGTGTTTTAGGGGATGGGTTTTTGACAAATGTACAGAACAGAGCAAGAAACAAAATACGAACGATAAAAGCAACTTAGGACGTACGCAGTTAATTCCCACACAATGTGTGCAAACCACGATAAGTGCGGTTGTTTTTATTCAAGATGAAGTGAGAAAATATATATTTTTCTCGTTTGTTTGATCCTCTGCATCGCTTTGAGTTAGGTGAGTATCTCGAGCGTGTCATGTGACTAGAATTGATTTATATTAGATAGATTTTCGTAACTGATAAACAAAATACGGTCATGTATTTTTCATTCATTTGTTTTGGGGGCGGTGTGGCAGGAGTGGGAGTGAGACTGATATTTTATGTTTAACGCTTTCCAACTCGGGTTGAAATCATTTATGCATTAAGGGCTATCCATAAATGACGTCACGCGATTTTGGACGATTTTTGACCCCCCCCCTCGTCGTCACAAAAAGTCAGACCCCCCCCCCCTCAAATATGACGTCAAAGCTCTGCCCCCCCCCCAAAACCATATTTCCATTTTGAAAAGAAAACATGCTTCAAATCGCTTTAAACTATTGCCATTGTAGTGCGTATTTAATGTGCTGCTGCACTCTGATGTTGTTGAAGAAAACATTTGTTAGAAAGTCAATTTTATTAAGTAGAACATGTTGTCTATATTTATTTAAAGGTGCGCATTTTTTATGTGAAGTCACATTTCTCAACCCCCCCCCCCCCGAGGTGTGTGACGTCATTTATGGACGGCCCCTTAGCTCCATACGTCTGTAAAAAAAAAGGGGGAGCACTATAATTCTTGTACACATAATCCCAAACGAACCACATTGTGGTATAAAGTTGTGTTGCTATGAGCGATTTACCAAAATTGATCAGCCCGTTGCTCAAACCTTGGGATACTCAAACCAGAGAAAAGATTACATGCATTTGCAAATATGCAAACGACTTTTCCCGGCCAGCCAACAGTGTGCTCCTTAAACACTGCAAGGCGAAGGACATGCATATGCATTAATTTTCCTTTCCAGCTTGCTTAATTTTCTGGTTGGTCCTTTTTGTACTTATGGTTTGACTTCAATTGTTATGCATGTTTTACAAACGTGACTTGTGCTTAATACACTCTATTTGGGTAATGAGAAGCCCACATCCACAAAGCATTGATAAAGTCTACACCAATAGAGTCTGCACCCATACACTTTCACTCAAATAACACTCAAAACAATTCGTCACTAACAGTGGCCTTTAAAAAACGATGTGCTATGAAGGGCCATTGCCTGAAATGCCACCTATTATGTTTTTTCTTTTAAGGCCACTCTGTTATTGACGAATGTGTCAAGCGCTTTTGTTATTTGTGCTTGTGCAACACTGCCAACGCAGGAACACCAAATAATTTGAAATCGTTGATTGGCTATGAAAGGGGCACAGATGACAGTTTAGCGTTCAACACATTTGGACTGCCCCCATTCAACGGATACACACAAAGACACACACACATACAAGGTGCTTATTTAAGGCTACTGTGACCTAGGTGAAGCCCCACACCCACAGGTGAAGCCCCACACCCACCTGTGAAGCCTGCAGCGAACCCAGCGTAACACGTGATGATCATGTCATGGAATAAATCCCTCCTCGGGGACCTAGTGGGTCCCGTTGATAAACCATAACGTGGACGGGGAAATCCACAATGGTGCGCATCACAGCACAGGGCCACCGACAACCCTAGGTATCACTTAAATGTGCGATGGTCAATTCACCTGTCCACCAAAGGAAATCTGATCAATCGTGCAAGAGCACAAAGCCCTGGTGCCACTGTGGCCAACTTCCTCGGGTGCAGTGGCTTTAAAGTTAGGTTGGGTTCTTTATATAAACCACGCGAAAGTCCGATAATGGGGCAGTGCCTTGTGCAAGGGCCCCTGGTAGTCTGGGCCCAAGACCATACCAGTTAGTGTTCTCATCTCGACTGAGACTAAGTCTCCTGGTAACTTGGAAATGATACCTAGTTATACGAGACTAGCACTGCGTCTCATGGACTGCTGAGACTGAGTGAGGCCAGCGTCTGCGGGTTTCTCTATTTAGAGCGAGTTCAATTTGAGACAATATCTATATTATGCATTAGAACTGCAACTAAATGTTAATTAAGCCGTGACACATTCGTGGTAATTAACAATGTGTGTGCGCTTAATATTGTACCGACTGCTCTGGCCGAGTTAAATTTCCCGACACTGAGATAACTAAGGCACCCCAACAAGTCAATAGTTATAAAGTGGATGGATCGTTGGAGCCGTGTTGTTGGTGGTGTGAGGCTGGCAGTGTCCGATGACTTTTACTCCACAAGCTGTTATTCCCAAGTATGTCAATCAGAATCAACTACTTCTTATTCCAGACCAACCGACATACGCGAATATTTGAATTGAAGAGGACCGTATTTTTTTGGTCAGAAGGATGCTCTCTCGATAACAGCTCATGATCACAAAACTAAAAATGCCACGAAAAAGTGGCAGGATCTCGTGAAAACCTCTTGAGAACAGGTCGAAACATTGCGGGGGTGCGCTTAAATGCAAGTGGAGGACAAACATATTTAATGACAAGACAATAATGAAGATTACGAGGATGACGATGACGTTGATGGCAAAGCCAACTGGATCCAAGATGGAAGCATCTCCTGTGCTCTTTCATTTCACTTCCATAACCGTTGGCTTTTGTCCGTATTTTCAAAGTGTTCCATCGTTTTAAGGTCCTCTCTGGAAAGAACTTTGCCTGACCAGCTTCATTTTAAGGCGTTTTCACCACCTGTCCCTGAATTCCGTTATCCGCGGCGGTGTTTATGTGTGCAAGTGTGCCCGTCAATGTAGGCGCGGTAATTGTACTCGTGCCATATTTGCATTTTGTCTATATGCACGATCTGTGCAATGGGTTACCTTCAAATGCAATCATCTATTTACAGACGCCTTACGGAACGTCTGCATCAACGGAACGTACATACTGTGCATGTTTAAAATACATTGTAAAATGTCTAATTGCCATACAGTATGTGTGGTATGGTACTGCATTTCACTTTGTGAAGCAGCGCTTTATGCTTTTGTATATGTGTACACACACTACGTGTCATATATACACACTATATACACAAATACAGCATACACTATAGAGTATACATAATGCGGTATTTACAATGTACAATGTGTGTGTGTATACATATTTTCCTTTCAAATTTTTCTTCAATTTGTTTATTTTCCAGCAAACATGATTTTTTACAGTCGCCAACGTATCACTCCTCCAATTCTTTCAGCAATGCACACAACGTCACCACTGTTGATTTTTGTTCAATGAGAAATGTTTCCCCCGTTCGTTTGTTTTTGTGCGCATTTCACATCATGCAGCGTTGAGACTGGAAAGCTTGAAGCACTGTCTTCACGAGAGGGCGCAACCTTCATGCTTGCATAGAACCGACAAGCTGGGTAAGACCAGTCCATTTTCTGAGTTTCAATTCACTCTGGAACCTATAAAGCAAGCTGCTCTCTGCAATGATGGACCGTAAAAAAATAATAATAATCCAGAACGAAATAAAAACGGTTTTATGGCGTACAAACGCTGTCTCGCTAGTGTCTCATTTATGGTATCATTTTCAGATTTACTTCATCCAAAATTCATCCAGTAAAGTCGTTTGATCAGTCAACCACCTAGTCAACCAGTGAGCCAACTGTCACGCGATTCAAGAAGACAGTTACGAAGATGGATCTCCAATCAGATATTCGATCATTGAAATAGCCAATAAAGCCACTCATACGTTAGCTGATCTGACAGACCGCCTTTTAGACAGCCAACCATATAACTAATTTATCCCACTAGTCAACGAGGGTCAATCAGTTATTAGCCACCAGATAAGCCAGCTAGCCAACTATTTGGTCAACCAACCAGACAATGTGAACCACCAGACAAGTCTACTCAACCAGAGAGACAGCCAGATATCAAAATGCTCAAATAATTAGTGGGCCACACAGGCGTCCAATGAGGTTGTAATTTTGAGCAGTCATGTGGTCACATATCCAACCTACCAGCCGAGTGGCCGTAAAGGCAAGATATTAACCTCCACTGCACTCAAGTGTATCTCCATGAACGGTGCCATCTATTCTAAATCCACTGGTGGACGGAAGCCTTCCCATATCGACGCCAACAAGCAGCCATGGCTGCTCGCTTCAGGGAAAGTGTGGACGGCAAATGAGCAATTCCGGTGATTATCAACAACACCGTTGTGATTTAACCCTTTAAGTTTGCAGACGGTAAGTCCTGAATGAAAGACCTCCACTCAAGGCAAATGATTACTTCGGCCTGAGGCCATGGAGCGCCATAATAATAATAATAATGGCAATGACATCTTCAATATTCATATTAAATAATGTCATTTTTCAGATTCATGGTGCCTAAAATAACCGTAATGGTATTAAAATTAAAAACAAAATTATCAATAACTTATTTTCAAAATAACGAATACAAATGTAGTAATGGAACAAAAATAAAATTATAACTAAACGGCCGGAACTATTGTATCGAAACGAATGTAAATCACAAATTGCTTTACAATTGTAACAACTACAAGAGTAAAAACGAAATTAAATATGTAAATGAGCAGTACCGATAACTTAAAAAGACTGGCATCATATCAAGAGTATGAAGAAGCCATGCAGGACATGATTACAAGCCAGTCATCTGCTAAACAGTCTAAAATCGACATTGTTTTACCAGCATCGTAATAACAAAAAGAAGTTTTATAAAACTGGCCTGGCCAAGCCAATGGCTCAGTTTATACAATTATTATTAAACAACACATACCGACATCAACATGATTATATTTAGAGGCCACACTGCATTTCCGGTGTGCACCACAAACATTATTTCATGTTTCCCATGATGCAATGCAACACAAGTTGGTAAAAACAAATGTATAGCATATATGCTTTGATTATTACCTCGGCCTGCACACATTTGTTTCAACTGACAGGAATTATAGTTTTTGCAAGATACCTGTAAATTGTATTGTAAGGAATGCATGAGATGAACGGGCAAATAAACTGCAATTAAATAATGATGCTAGCAGCGCGGCTCTCTGAAAGTGACCCCAACTTCCGTCACTTGACTTCAAACAGCACAGGTGTGTTTCATTATTTCTTGACTTTGTCAAAAGAAAGTGAAATTCTAGTGTTAAAGTGATTTTTTTCACGTTAATAAAAAATTATACGACCATGTTTTTTCCCTCTTCAAGGTACCATTTTAATTTTTTAGTATTTTCATCTTGTCAGTTTTTTGTAAAAAAACGTAAATAAGAAAACAAATTGTCATAATAAAAACTATTATTTTTGTACTGATTTGTGTACCTCAAGAGTTCAGCGTCAAGTAAGTCAGCACGCTCACTTCCACTCAGGCTTGTTTATAGTTTGGCATTTTTTTTGTAAAAAAAAAACCCTTCGATTCTCTCCCTTCGGTCCATCGAAGCAAACACGTGATTGGTCGACGGGTGTGTGTGTGCGATCACATGATTGGTCGATGGGCTTGCTTAGTTATGTTGGGAGGTCAGCCATAGTCCTTTTTGTCTATAGTCTGCGGCTTCCAGCCTCCCGTTCTCCTCCTCGGATTCAGGAACGGCTTCTCCGATACGGAGACTCCGCACCAAAAGGGCCCAACGGGCGCGCGGAATAACCACCGAGCCAAAGCAACGAGCCACTGAGCCAGCCAGCATGTGAGAGACGACATGCCACCGAGCCAGCCACCGAGCCAGCCAGCGGAGCCAGCCAGCGAGCCTTCCACTGAGCCAGCCAGTGAACGAGACTCTGTGCACCCGCGAGCTATCCTCGGTGCCAGCCGGCAAGCGAGACTGAGCCAGCGAGAGAGCCTGGAGGTGGTGGTGGTGGTGTGGGGAGCTCAGAGGCGCTCGACGTCGCGGTATTTCTTGCGCAGGATAGAGACCTGATCCTTGAAGAGCAGTGGGTCCATGCGGCTCTGCGTGTGCTGCAGCGGCATGGTGCCGAACCACGTGGCGAACGCGTTCATGCAGCTCTGTCGCTGAGCGAAGTGGTCTGGGTCGGCCCAGCGTGACAGTTTTGAGCCCTGCGGGTGGGGAAAGCGAACGAAAGTCATCGTGATCTGCCCAGCCAAATGCCGTCGTGAGCACGTACATGCCAACAATACTGCCGACAACAACAGGTATGTACATGCCACCAGTAATACCACCAATGCAATCAAAGATACGTCTACACCACCAGTAAAACCACCAATACAATCATAGATATGTCTACACTACCAGCAATACCACCAATACAATCGTAGGTATGTCTACACCAGCACCACCACCACCACCACGAGAATCACCACCAGCAATTGCACCACCATCACTCCCACGATCAGCACCACCAACAGCAGCTGCATCAACAAGCTCAACACCCAGGACCACCGTCACAAGCATGTGGCGCAGCAGCAGCACCGCACCTGCATCATGGCCTCCTTGTATTGCTTCTTCTGTGTGACCTTGATGGGTGGCATCTTTATGACGTCCGACACGAGGAAGTTCATGAGGATGTCCTCGCAGTTGGACAGCGAGTCCACCATCTCCCGCAGCGATGCCGGCAGCGCATGCGTGTACAGGTAGTTATAGTATCTGCGGTGCGGGAGAAGGGGTGGGAGACACGGTGTTGGGGCTAGGGCCACTGTTAGGGTAAGGGTTAGTGTTTGTATGTATCCATAATATAGGTTTTTTGGTTAGATCGCGAAAATGTGTCATTATGTATGTAGCACTTCTTTCGCACCGTACATAGCCAATCGTGCTAATCAGAGCTGCGGGGGGAGGACAACAGCCTCAATTAAAGAAATGAGTTGTCAATCTAGATTTAAAACTGCATAGCTCCAGTGGCTTCTTAATATCAGAAGAGAAGAGCATTCCAGATGGTCGCAGAAGTACATCTGACAGCGTGCATTGCAGTGACCGTCTAAAACTAAACTATTTTATTTGACCAGGTGAAGCCCTCTGAGCTTTTAGCTTCTTATTCAGAGCGACCTAGCCGCAAATAGTAGCGCAATAAAGTGGCTTATCAAGTGGAAATTTATCGTAGCCAAATAATTTAAATAAACTAATGAAAGGTACAGCATTCACTGCACGTGTCCATGTTAGTGTACGACAGCTCTCACCGGTGGTAGAACGCGGCTCCCGTTAGCACCATGGAGTAGTGGTTTGTCCACTTGGACGTGTAGCCCCAGCGGCTCTTGCTGCTGTCCCACAGGTGGCTCCGGGCCGGGTATCCCACGATCCGCTCCGGGAAACTCTGCCACACTACAAACGCAAAGTCCACCTGCGCAAAGCACGCGTGCACACACACACACAGAAATGTTAGGATCGAACGCTGTTAGCCAACTCGAAGGTTCATCACCGTTTGGTGTATTAGAACCATTTGGGTGGATGGACAGAGGCGAGAGGTTTTTGGAACAGTGCAACAATTGATTTTGCTGCACTGTCTCGCACTGCCCACCACGTGTGTACTGGACATATGTTGAACTTCTTTCGCACCGTATGTAGCCAACCGTGATAATTGGAGGTTTGGACCACCACGTGGCCCCAAAGCGAGCCTATGATGCCTGTCTTATACATGGCGGTCACCCATCCAACTTCGCTTAGCTGCCGAGCTATGACGAGTATGGGTGAATTCTGGGCAGTGTTTTTATAAAAGCTGAAGGCAAAGGTGCAGCACTAAAATGGCGCGCTTATTCCACTGCTGACGGGGGGGGGGGGAGGGGGGGGGTATCCCGCTGGAGGAACGATGGACAGAAGTGGTGGGGGGGGCAGGGGTCTAGTGCGTTCACCACGAGACCGTGGCAGAGTCCATCTCGATCGCGTACGTCTGAGCAACCGGTTACACACCTCGTCGGTGCGTCCTGCGCACACTCGCGCTCACCTCGTCCGTGGACAGCACGGTGTCCTCGTCGAGGCTCAGGACGGCGTCTGTCGTCACGGCCTCGTGCGGCACGAAGCGGCTGCTGATCGTCTGCGAGTGGCGACAAGGGACGCCACGTACAAGTGAGCGCAGGTACGCACGCTCGCACGCTCGTAACGAAAAGTCAAATCTAATTATTTTAATTTTGGTATTCGCATCGTTCCTACAGCACAACGCTATCACGAAGGGGCTGTTTTTCACAGACAAACTAAAACTAAACTCAACATTTTTTTATTTTTCCAGGTACTGAGCTGTATAGCTCTTTTTCAGAAGTGACCAGGCCGCAAATGATAGCGCAACAAAGTGGCTTATCGAGACGGACGCCGTTTTTAAATGTGGAGGGAGTAAACCGGAGGTTCCGGAGAAAAATCCACATGACCACTGGGAAAACATGCAAACTACAAATATATCAGGCATCATCATAGTTGGGATTAAACCCACAACCTCCTGTATACCAGGCGAGGTGGTTAACATCCCGGCACCGTGGTGCCCCTGGGTATGGTCTGCAAGTCGGCAATGTTACCGTGTGGTATTTACCGAATTTATGGGCAATTTTGCAAATTTCGAAGGAGATGCTGGCCACATGTGGCCTTCTCGTTTTTCGAATAACATCACGCGATATTTAACGTCCTCCGCAAAGCAGACGGTGCGTATATTTGGTCAATACACCCACCGGTATTCAGAATCAGAATATTTATTTAGACTGGAAGAATTCGATGAGCTATGAAGCTCTTCTTCACAGATGTCCAGTAAGGGGTGGGTCAAAAATTTACAACAACAGACAATACAAAAACAGATAGGTATGCAAAGAATAGGAAAGCTAACCAAGGCACTTAATAAAAAATATAAAAGTATTATCCAGGGCGTACGGCTGGGCTTGAACTGCGAACCTCTGCAACACGCGGCAAAGTTGCCACCGTTTGGGAAAAACATGTCACGCACGTGTGTTTGCATGTGCCGATGCAGCACACGCCAATGCGCGGACACTCCGTACCTTCGTGGCTGGCTCTGAGATGATGAGAGGCACGGGTAGCACTGGCCAGAGGCTTCTTGCGGGTGGTGGACGATCGCAGTTCCACAGGACGAGCACCTGCACACAGCGAAAACACGTCAGCCAGTGATCACCCTATACTGTGTGTGACCCTAGCAGACAGCTGGTTCACACACTGCACGATGAACCCGGAAAACCTGGCCGATGGCTATCATCAGGAGCGAGTGATATCCGAACTGGCCCTGGTTGCTCCATCACCTTAACCAACCCACACCCACTGACCAGCATGGTGTAGCATGGTCAAGCGTCACAGTGGTGAGATGATAACTACCTTACCTGGCATGAAGGAGGTCGTGGGATCGAGCCCGACCCTGACCTACGCTTCTTTCCTTTCAACATTTAAAACCTGGACTGTGGGTAGAAACGAAGACTGGTGTTTGAGAACTGATAATTAATATAATTAATCCCAATCCCTGGGGGATCATGGGAAACGTTTGGCATCTCTAACTGCGTTGGCTGAGAACTCCGCCCCCCCCCCACCCCCGCATGTGGCCAGGAGTGGAACTACCGGATTTGCCACACGACATGCCCGAGACTCACCTGGGCACAGAACTTGGACTTGCCGACCGCCTGGATGAGCTTGATGATCGGCTGCGACTGCACGAGGAGCGGCGAAGTGGCGTGGATCACGGCGGTGAACTTGGGCTCGGGGCTCTGGCCTGGGGGGGGGGGATATGAAAGTGAGTGACGGGAACACACGACGCATAACATACACAACGTACACACACACGCACACACGTGCAACTGAGCATGAAGGCACGCACGGGCAAGTAACATATGCACAAAACACACACGACAAACAGATGAAACGCAAAACACTTGAAACACACACACAAATGCACAAAGCTCCCACATATTGCCTTTAACAGGCTGTTGGGGAAGGTGCACCTATACAGGCTGGCCTGTCACAAGGGGGTGGTTGGCCAACACCACGCCAGACTGCCTATGTCCCCCCCCCCAGTGCTGATGTTTACACATCACACCAAGTGCTCAATTAAGGATGAGTCAACCTAGGGGGGAAGCCCACAGGACCAGTTCAGATATTCACAACTGTTATTGGTTCTAAGCGGAAATCGAACTTGGGTTGCCGGGTTCGATGTGCCGTGTGCTAACCACTACACTAGCGCTCCCCCCACTACGTAGATACACACACACATCATTACTCATGAAACTCCAGCCTCTGCACCTCGCGAATGGTTCAGCTAGGATCTTGTTTCCCCCGGGATGCGAGTCGCCCTCGCCGGCACTCACCCAGGTAGGCGTGGTAGAAGGGGTAGTGCGCCAGGGCGGACGAGAAGCCGGGCAGCACGTGGAGACCGCCGGGTGGGTGGTTCCACACAACCGCCGGGCGCACTGCCACTCCGGCCACACGCTCCCGCACGATCTGGCAAGCACGCGCACACGACGACAGAGTTTAACCCTCCGTATGTGCAGACTGACGTGGCAAAGCGCTGTTGGACGAGGGACTGCTCAAACTAGAGCGGCACACTAAATTATAGTGTGGCCGAAAAAAACGCGTCCGGCCGTGAACGAGCGAGCGAGAAAGTTAGCGAGCAGGTAAATGAGTGAGAGAACGGGTAAGTTAATGAGCAAGTAAGAGGTGGAGCTCGTGATCGAGCGAGCGAGCAGGGCTCACCTCGAGCGTGGTGTGCACGATCTTGTCGATGGAAGAGAAGTACGCGTTCCACAGGAGCTGCGTCTGCTGCCTCATGGCAAGCACGCGGTCGTGATCGAGCCACCGCACTGTCGACGGGATCTGGAATACGCGGACATGTGGAGTTCGGGGTCAGCGTTCGGGGTCGGCGATAGGGGGTCAACATTTCCTTGCTGGCCTCAAAGCGCTGACGCCAAGCGAGTGAGCAAGCGACTGGCCTCGGAGGCAATATGCTCTACTTAATAAATAAATTACATGCAGTTCAAACTGAACCTCATGTATGTATATTGAACTTCTTTCGCACAGCACGCAGCCAACAGTGCTAACCGGAGGTGCGGGGGAATGACAACAAAGTCAACACAATCAATATGATTTAAAAGTGCATAGCTCCAGTGGATTCCTAATAATCGAAAGGAAGAGTTTTCCAGATGGCCACAGAAGCGCATCTGAAAGTGCGCGATGCAGTGACCATTTTTCTTCGATGGCTTAGCCAAAAGCCAGTGCGAGGATGCCCTGAGTTTGCATGAAGGTTTATATGCTCCGTGACGAGATCAGCAAGGTATTGTGGTTCATTTGTGTAATGACAATGTATTGGTTCAGCAACCAAAAACCAATTCAGCTCGGCGAGCACTGGATGGACATGGTCACATCTAGCAGTACCCATCACAGCACGTGCCAAAGAATTTTGTAGGAGATCAACGCGACATTCTGTTCACGACAGCTTTGGGCACAATGCACACAATGCACTTCGTACGGCAGTGTAAACATTACACGCCTGCCCCACCCCCCTCCAGAAGAGATTTTGATGGTGAGTGTTACAGCGAGGATCGGGTAAGCATTCAGCAGGCTTTGCGAGTGTTAAATCGAGTGAGTGCTATGGTGAGCGAGCATTGGGGCGGGGAAGTATTAGGGCGTGCGAGTGCTGGGATGAGCGTGTGTTGGGGTGAGCGAGTGTTGGGGTGGGCGAGTGTTGGGGTGAGCGAGTGTAATGGTGAGCGAGGTCTTTATTATTTCGTATGTAAATCTGAAATGCAATATTAAAAGTCGAAAGCCAAGTTACAGCACAACCGGGATACAGCTGGGGAAAAAGACAACTAAAGGATTTAATAAGATAAAAAAAAATTATAAATTATTTGGGTTACAGCGCTGGGCTCACCTGGAGGAGCAGCCTCTCGTCTCCGATGACGGCCGCTTTGTTCCAGTCGATGACCTCCGAGAAAGGCAAGGCCCAGCCGTTACTGAGCAGCACAGGCACACACGCCGCCTGCACGCGCACAAGACAAAGATCCCCCATATAGCCTTAACACTGAACAGACTGTTGGGGCAAGTGCTGTAAGCGAGCACCAATGAAGGCCGACACGGCACACGAAGGGGTGTGGGTGGCCGAGCACCATGACCGGCCGCCTTTGTCTCCCCAGTGGCGAAGTTTACACACCGAACCAGGCATTCAATTCAGGCCGGGTCGACCTAGGGGAGGCCCAGGACAGGTTTAGATAATTGTCACTGGTGTTCGCCGTGAGCGGGAATTGAACTCGGGTTGCCGGGTTCGTAACGCAGTTCACTAACCGCGACCCTACCGCACGCAGACGCAAGCAACGTGGAAACAGGTCAAACACGGGTCACACACGGGACACACACGGGTCTGACACAGATCTGACACGGGTCACGGACATAGACCAGGCATGAGTCAGACACACGAATCAGACTCGGGTCTGACGTGAGACACGAAGGCAGACCAAACACAAGGCAGACACGGATCACCCCCAGAACAGACATAACAAGTTGGGCAGGCGTTAAGAAGACGCATGGCAACCAAGGGTGTGGCACAAAGATAAAAGAGGCACACGCGCGTGCACACACACACCTAACTTTTACAGCACACCAGCAACATGGCAAAGCTTATGGCCACAAACATGGGCGTGAAAGTAATAATTATGAAAATTATATACCGTGCAAATCCTCAAGAGTCTCAAGACGCTCTTTCAGGAGGGTCCTGTATTGGAATGCTTGGGAGATGTTTGGCCAATTCCACCAATGAGAAAATGAGAATTTGGAATGGGGGAGGAAACCAGTACACGGAGAAAACCCACCATGCGTACGAGAGAGTGACTCTCAACACTGCTATCTGCAGGCTACACCTCGGAGCCAAACGCCCGAAACATCTGGCCCGCCAGAGGGAACCCGTCCACGTTTCTTTGTTTTATTTCTCCTTGTCGACCCAGGAAAGCTTCACCAAGTCTAATGACTCTCTTTCAGGAGGATCTTGCCGAGTTTTCAAAGGGGGGCGATGATTGCTATGCAATTTCCAATTGAGTAATTTTGCAGGTAACTTTTGAAATTTGATCAAATCTGGACCATAATGCTGGCACACAATGGTCATAACTCTAGCAAATGACATCACGGGATCTTTAACGTCCACTATGAAACAAATGGAACATATTTTTACGATGAATCCACCCGCAATATTAAATCAAGACAACCGGTGGATTCCAACCGAGAATCTCTGCAACAAGCGGTGCTAGGCCAGGTCACCGCCCATGTACTAACCAGGCTCAAAACCTGCTTAAACTTCTGAGATCCGACGTGATCGGGTTAATTTTGGGTGACTGGGTCACACAGCAAAGTCGTGGTGGGCGCGAGCGACGGCGAGCATGGGCGTACGTTAAAGTGTGAGTGCCAGACGCCGTCGCTCCTCCTACCTGCAGAGCCTCAAGGAACCTGAAGGATCCGAGTCTTCTGCCCCGCGGGACGAGACAGAAGGTGGAGTTGTAGAGCATCTCCTTGTAGTCGTATCTGTAATGCACACGAGCACACGGGGGCAAGGGGTGGGGGGGATGGACATGAGATTCACACGGACCCAAGAGATCCACGGGAACTCGATGACACCTCCTTGATAGGACACAGAAGCATTGCAGTGGCAAATTAGTTGCTATAAATGCTGTCTTGAATAACAATTTAAAAAAATGTAGTTAAGCAGAAGCAGGTGAGCATAATTTATCACGTTCAGAAGATGCAGTGGCATTACTGCACGTTCAAAGGCGTTCTTGTTCGTAAAGCCTAAATAGACAATAGCGGCAAGTGCTGTTAAGCAAGCACCGATGCAAGCCAGCACAACACATTGGGTGGGGAGGGGAGGGGCACCACTATGCCCAATGCTGCTGTTTACACACCACACCACATATAGCACTCATTTATGGGTTGAGTCGACTAAAGGAAGGCCGAAGATAATCGACACCAATGTTCGCTGTGGCCGGGAATCGAACTCGGGCCACCGGGTTTGTAGCGCGGCGGTGCAAACAACAGCCATTCACTTCCATATGTCAGCCCAGGTCCCGCTTTGAGATCACGTCAAGCGTCAGACTCGCCAGTAGGAGGTGTTTTGTATGGGTTAACGGAGTGAGTTGACTGGCAGATGCAACACCTGGGCTCCCCACTGTGCTACCAGCCTGCCTGATAGTGTCTGTACAAAGACAAGTATTCCCCGTATAGTCTGAACAGACTGTTGGGGCAAGTGCTGTTAGCGAGCACCTATGAAGGCGGGCATGGCACACGAGGGGGTGGGTGGCCAACACCACGCCCGGCTGCCTTTGTCTCCCAGTGGTGGTTTCCACACCACACCTCGTGCCAATTTGAGGCCAAGTCGACCTAGGGAAGGCCCATGACCGGTTCAGATAATCGTCAGTGTGTGTTGGCCGTGACCGGGAATCGAACTCGGGTCACCGGGTTTGTAGCGCAGCGCGCTGACCACTACACCACCGCTGTCTGCACACACACGAACGTGCACCCGCACGCACGCACGCACAAGTTGACTTGAATGGGAGGTGGGGGGGGGGCCCCCCGTCTCTGGTGGAGTTTGATCAGACTCAGCGGCGGCGGACGAGCGACCGTGTGAGCCGAGTCCGGGGATCTCTCCGAGCATCTCGGGTGCTCGAGCTCTTGGGAGCACGCATGGCCACGCCACATCAAACGCCGCGGCACAGTTCCACGCCACCGGATTGTTTAAATTCCACGACGTTTTTTTTATACTTTAAACTTAAGGGGATTTTTTTTGGTCTGTGTGTGCCTGTGTGACACTGTCTCTCTTTACATTTATTTTTTATTTCCCTGCTGCTCTGTCCTCGTTTGAACCCAGGTGAGAAGGGCATTTTTTCTCCCCTTCTTTTTTCACTCTCGTGTTTGCATCTTGCTTCGAAAGATTTTCTTTGCTTTACTGGTGAACCGTGTGCAATTTCCCTGTTAACCAGACGGGGTTTTTTTTCCCCATGGCAATAAGACTCGAGGAATTCAACGCAGCCATTAAAAAAAACACGTGTTACGGTAACCCCGAGCGACAAAAGTGATGCTGCCACGGTGTAATGGTGAATACACCGGACTTGCGATACAAAGGTCGTCGTTGAAACAATGGCGCAAGTATCTTAAATTAGCATTCTTGGTAACGTTTGTCATGTGAGACATTATTTATTTATTTACAAATTTACAGGTACAAAGTTAACTTTTCTTTTACCAGGTAAGACTCGCTGAGCAACAGAGCTCTTTTCCAGAAGCGACCTGGCCACAAATGATAGCTCAACGAAGTGGCTTATCACGTGGACATTTCATAGCAGCCAAATACTCCAAATGCACGTTTGTAAATGTGGAAGGAAAAACCGGAGGACCCGGGGGAAAATACATCACGACCACGGGGAGAACACGCAAACTCCAAATACAGCAGGCGTCAGGGTCGGGATTGAACCTACGACCTCCTATATACCAGGCGTGTCACCCACCCCAATATACGATTGGCTACCGCCACCATTGACATCACCGGGTCATTAAGGTCCACTATGCAGCAAACGGAGCACTTTGTTCAGTACAGTAACAGCAAGCAAATAAAGATTATCTCCCAACTGTGATTCAATTAACTGTCCCGATAACGAAGGGTCACAATTTTATTTTATCACGATTCCATTGTGCACAGCATGTTGAGTTGCGGGCTCAGTCAAGATTTTAGACGACAAGAATGTTGATGGCTATCGTGAATTCTATTGCAATGACGTGCATTTCAAATGAAGGTTGAAATATTAATTATACATCGATTAATCTTTGTCAATGCACCGCAGTATGAAGGCCTGCCCACGCCATGTAAGCAATTGGGGACTGTTTGACAATAAATGCAATCGGGTCTCTTGACACTTTATAAAATTAGAATACAGAGAGGGGGTGGGGGAAATGGGTCACGGCTGGGGAAATGTAGGAAACAGAAGACACCACGGCATCGTCTGCGATGAAGCAACCTGGGTTCAGCGCATCCAGCAAAAATAAGCTGCAGGGAGAGCCGGGGAAGCCAGGGCAGCACCAATGAGTCCCCCAGGGCATTCTCGGAGAGGCCAAGGCCCTTCGACAAGCTCGAGGGACAGTCGAGGCAGCCACGTCAGCCAGGGCAGCCATCACAGAAGCAAAGCTATGTGAAGCCAAACCCGATTGCGCTGTATCATCAAGTAAGTCAATTATTTTTTCCGGCACGGTGACATGAAAGGATCTGTGGAGGGAGATCGCTCAGCTCCGCCAGCCACATCAATGCCCGTGCCGCGTCCCCACCTCGTGGGCTCTATGCCCAAGGCGAATGGAACGTGCGCTCGCAAAGCCCAAATATCCATCCAAAGCTCCTCGCCTCCCTCCCACGCGCACACGCACGCACATGCACGCAGGCTGACTCAGCCACCACCAACCGCAAAATAAGAAGCGTTCCCAAGGGAAGGGAGTGTCCTCGTATGGTAGGGCGAGAAAAAAATTACAATAAAAGGGATTATTCGGTTTGTCGGTTCTGCCACGTCACCAGGCTGGACTGCAAATTTATCCACGTAATATCGGATTGTTTTGCTAATGCGTGTCAGCACACGCTCTTTGCCACTCACTGTGCGAGCGACTGAGTCAGTGTGGGTCAACACTAAGGTCGGGAGCGGTAGTAGGGTGGGTTAGCGAACTGTGTCACTCACGTACCCAGCTGCCCCAGTGCGATTCCTGCTGCCGGCTAAGTAGCGTTTATACAAAACATCACTCAGCCTTAAAATTAATATCTAGTGCGGTGTGAATGTCATTAGAGGGGAGACAAAAGGTGCTGGGTGTGGTACTATGCCAGCTTTTATAGGCGGTCGCGAACAACACTTGTACCGACAGCGCGTGAGGCTACCTCAAACTATTAAAAAATATATTTTAGCAGGTAAGGCCCACCGAGCTATACAGCTCTTTTTCAGAAGCGACCTTGGCCACAAGTGAAAGCCCAACGAAGTGGCTTATCGTGTGCAAATTCACAGCAGCCAAATATTCTAAACGCATGTTTCTAAATGTGGAGGGAAAAAACGGAGGACATCGAGAAAAAATCCACGTGACCACGGGGGAACATGCAAACTCCAACATACAGGTGTCAGTGTCGGGATCGAACCCACGACCTCCTGTATACCCAGGCGACGTAGTTAACATCTCGACACTGAGGGCCTGATCTGGATTTGTTATATTGTTTGATGAATGTGAAAGTATGGCGAATGACGTCCTTCAATCTGCACCCTTTACATGTCATGGTACCGGATAATCCCGTATTACCTGGTGGGGCAAGGCAGGATACTAACAGCTAACAGTGACTTACAGCCCTTTGTCCATCCACTGCTGCATGAAGGATTTCCCAAGCCGAGTCGGCCACAGAGGTTGTTTTGACCGCTTCACTACGCTGCCTCGGTGTAAATTGATTGGGGAGGGGAGGGGCAAGTGCAGGGGGGGGATGCTACCCGTTGGCACTACACACCCTTCTTCCAAATGCGTATGGGTGGAGGTGAATCATTACATCCCTCGGGGGTGTAATGATTCACCTCCGCCCAGGTACTGCAGGGTAAGGTAAAGGTAAGGTAGCTTGGGGTAAAAAGCAGGCTACTTCAGGTGAGGTTAAGCTGGAGTACATGGTGGCAGAGCAGGGTAAACGTGTAAATACCTGCCCGTACATCTTACATAAATCTTTTGGGGCAAGTGCCATCATCGAGCACCTATCAAGGCTGACATTCACACAAACACACACACACACATTGCCAAGCCTGGCTGCCTTTGTCTTCCCAATGCTGATGTTTACACATCGCATCAGCGAATGTATGTTAAACTTTTCACACAGTGCATAGACAACCGTGCTAATCGGAGGTGCGATATCATTTCAAAATCAAATTGACCTAAGGGAAGCAGGGCCGAGGGGTTGTCCTGGCATCACTTGCCACTGATGTCAGACTGCGCTGGGAATCGAACCCAGGTCGCTGTTTTGTAGCACAGTTCGCCAACCACTGCCCCGCCGCTCTAGCTCTGTAGCTGTGAGGACTCTTGACACATGCACGCAACCAACAACACTATCTCTCACTCACCCCTCTCACGTACGCACACACAAACTCTCTCTCACGTACACTTTGGAGATATAAAACGACACGTTACAATGTTAGATAACACCTACTGCCCCTGTCTCACGCAGCGCATTTTTGTAAAACCCTCGCCAAAATAGTTCTCAAATAAGCACCACATGTAAACGTTAAGGTTCACTTAAAAAAAAAGAATCAGTTTACTCGCTTATTCCCGGCGACCTCTGTATTACAAGTCCAGTGTGTTGCTAACCAATTCCCCCACAGCCTCTGCCCACACCCAGCATTATCCACGATGGGGGGGGGGGGGGAATCACCACGGTTTGTTCAATCGCAGATTCGCTTGCGATTGAGCCAAGTGTGGTTTAACCCCCACCACCACCACCACTTCGTTCGAAGAACGTCTGCCCGGCGTGAAAGTATCTG